TCTTCTTACGTTATTAAAAGTACAGATATTAAGGATGGTGTAAAAGTGAAATTAAAACAAAGGCTGGTATATCATCATTTTACAAAGTGTAAAGAAATATATACTCCTTCCTTAAAGAAAAAAACAAACACATAAAAGTATCCTATAATTTGGCGTTCGCGCGCTGTTATTGGCTCTTCTGCGCCTCATAGCGGAACTGTGGGCTCGATGTACTCTTGCAAAAATTTGCAGTGGGCTCTGGAGCTATTAGGATTTGATTCTGTATGCACCAGAGATACAAATCCGAGTTGCGCAATGTATAAATGGGAACATTAAAATCAAAAGTGCCGACGCAGAGTGAGCGAACTGATTCTTTAGCTATAAACTGTGATACTACAAAATTCACTCGAAGATATTAAGAGCGGTTGAGAAGTGTGTAGATATTCAAGAAGCAAAAATGATAACGCTATCTACACTTAGTAAGCAAAATCAAAGCTCGCCACGGTACATAGTTCTCTATAACAGTGGTTTTCAAAGTTTTTTGGTGACGGAAGAAAAAAGACGAAAGAAAGAAAAAATATTCCAATTCTCAAATTCTCAAATTCTCAAATTCTCAAATTCTCAAATTCTCAAATTCTCAAATTCTCAAATTCTCAAATTCTCAAATTCTCAAATTCTCAAATTCTCAAATTCTCAAATTCTCAAATTTTTAAATTCTCAAATTCTCAAATTCTCAAATTCTCAAATTCTCAAATTCTCAAATTCTCAAATTCTCAAATTCTCAAATTCTCAAATTCTCAAATTCTCAAATTCTCAAATTCTCAAATTCTCAAATTCTCAAATTCTCAAATTCTCAAATTCTCAAATTCTCAAATTCTCAAATTCTCAAATTCTCAAATTCTCAAATTCTCAAATTCTCAAATTCTCAAATTCTCAAATTCTCAAATTCTCAAATTCTCAAATTCTCAAATTCTCAAATTCTCAAATTCTCAAATTCTCAAATTCTCAAATTCTCAAATTCTCAAATTCTCAAATTCTCAAATTCTCAAATTCTCAAATTCTCAAATTCTCAAATTCTCAAATTCTCAAATTCTCAAATTCTCAAATTCTCAAATTCTCAAATTCTCAAATTCTCAAATTCTCAAATTCTCAAATTCTCAAATTCTCAAATTCTCAAATTCTCAAATTCTCAAATTCTCAAATTCTCAAATTCTCAAATTCTCAAATTCTCAAATTCTCAAATTCTTAAATTCTTAAATTCTTAAATTCTCAAATGCTCAAATTCTCAAATTCTCAAATTCTCAAATTTTTGAAAAAACTATTATATTCGATTCTACCGGTAATTCTTCTTTAAAATATTCTAACAAACATCCTCTCCAAGCAAGCTCTACCGCTGCGATATGGAAAAATTTCTTTTGGAGTCCTGTGTACATATCGCTTGATGTCTTCATAGGTCAACGGTACCAAACTGATTTTTCGTTTCTGTGCGTCACCTTGAAGCAAATTACGTTTTGTATCTCGTGAATTTCTTGCCGATTGAAAAATGATATCTTTGAATGGGTCGAAACTCCGTGAATATTCATAAAATATTTTTCTTGCAATAATTTAGCACTCCTATTCCAGATCGTCTTTACGACACATTCGTTGTAATCAGAACCATTAATTTTTCTCATGTTGAAGCCCCAGTCCTTTAATATAAGAGCTAGTCTCTCAACAGGCGTTGCTTCTTCTAATACGTATTCTCGCTCATCGCAAAAACTAGTAAATTGCTTCCAAACGTACTCCTTCGATTTCTTTGTATTTTTCGGTACATTTTCATCAATTTTTCCATTGATTAATTCGATGGAATTTATCCCAAATCTGCTCATTTTTAAATGCGTACACGGCGGAATTATTTATATTTGACGTTTAACTGTCACATAAACAATCTGAAAACACCGAACTTGACAGGCCAATCAGGATCAAGAGTCAAGTTTGGTGTTATCGATAATCCGAACTTGACTAGAATTCCTGATTGGTTCATTTGATAAGTGCGTGAAGTAGTCGCTCAAACTGCACACAAGATTCTTTCTAGGATCACACTTTTTTAATAAATAGATATAAAAACAAAAAATTTGTTATAAGTAATGTATTATGTGTTGCCTATATCTACGTTAATCATGAAAAAATCAGTTGATATTCAAAGTCTATGTTAACTTGGATAATATAACAAAAACATATGTTAACTTCGTACCTTAGATAAAAGAGACCAGAGATATAACATACACCGGTGTTTAACCTGCGCAAATGTTGCCAATTTCTAAAGAAAGGTTAACGGAGTGGGGGAACTGGGCAGGGACTCGAACTATGTGACAGGGACCGGACTTTGTTTATTAGCATCATAATGAACTATTAGATTTACTTAAAAGATGTTTAATGGAATTTTGTATTATGAAATAAATTTAACGTGATTTTTTAATATCAAACAGATGCCACGACATTTTATGTAAAGAGAAGACCTTTAATAGAATATTTCGTTAGCTATTATTTACTATGGACTTTTCTGTAAGAGACTACAGTAAAATGTTGAAATAGAATATTGTTAATCGAGTAAGAAATGGTACTTATTGTCTAAGAGTATTATAAAAAAGCATGTGCGCAGGCGAATACTGCAAATCAAACCTTGTGAGTTGAACATTATATTTTTTCTACGACTATCACATAATATTAAAATTTAGTCAAAATGAGAAAATGCTGTTTTGTATTATAACCTCAGAAAAAGATATATTAAAGCTTGTTTCTTTAGGAATATTAATTAATATAGAGGATGCGCCACATAAAACTCTAGAAATGTATATGTCTGAAACCAGATAACATTTTAAAATTTAAACCTATTAAAAGTCATTTGGTCGCTAGGAGTGGGTGATTATCGAAATAAATTATTGATCATTAATAATAATCGATTATTTTCGATCAATCGATTATTTTCAAACAATCTATTTTTGTTCGTATTTCCTTTAAAATTGACTACTTGATTATCTTTAAAAAATCAGAAAAAATAGATTAATTAAAAAGCCAATTAACCGATAAATCAGTGTTTACAAAAAATAATAAACGAATTATCGTTCATTTTAAATAATCGATTATTTTTAATTTCTATTTTTTTTTTTTCGTATTTCCATTGAAACATTATTCGATAATCTTTGAAAAATCTAAAATAATCGATTAATCAAAAATAATCGATTAATCAAAAATAATCGATTAATTAAAAAGTCGAATAATCGATAAATCGATTTTTCAAAAAAAAAATAATTATTTCCTTTAAAATCAATTATTCGATCATTTTTGAAACATCGAAAATAATCGATTAACGGAAAATAACCAATTAATTAAGAAGATTCTACGATAAATCGATTTTCAAAAAAAAAACTGAATAATTGATTATTTACAAATAATCCTTTTCTTTTTTTAAATTCCTTTTAAAACTGATTATTTAATTTTCTTAGAAAAATCGAAAATAATTGATTAATAAAAAGCTGATTTACCGATAAATCAATAATTCTAAAAAATAACCGAAATATCGATTATATAATATAACCGATTATATTCGATCAATCGATTATTTTTATATAATCTATTTTTTGTATTTTAAAACAAATTATTTGAATACCTTTGAAAAATCGAAATTAATCGATTAATCTAAAATAATCGATTAATCGAAAATAATCGATTAATCGAAAATAATCGATTAATTTAAAACCTCTATTAAACAATAAATCGATTTTTCTAAAAAATCGATTATTTTCAATAAATCGAATATTTTGAATAAATCTACTCTCTTTTTGTAATTCCTTTATAATCGATTATTCCATTACCTAAAAAAACGAAAAAAATGTATTAAAAATGTTTGATTAATCAAAAATAATCTATTAAAGATAATCGATTAATTATAACGCATAAATCGATTTTCATGAAAACGATAAATCGATTATTTTTGTAACCCCTATCGGTCGCATGCTTTTATCAGAGGATTTAGCTCCAAAATTTAGAGATTCGGATTTATTGATCCTGTTATCTTTGAAACCGCATTCGATTGTATAATAAATATTGCTAGAATTTAGATTTTTTTAGTAAACGAAGATATTTTTCGAGTTGTTTAGGGGTTTATAATGAAACATTTTACTAATAATATGACTAATTTCCGTCACTTTTTTGCTTATACTAGATCATATTGCGCGTTTTACTTTGTTTTAAGATTCAAATGTCACTTCTGATTTAACCGCAAATAAAATAAACCTTGAAATTTTAAGTAGGTGAACCTGTATTTCATCTAATATTCTTGTAAAAATATCTAATAAAGGGCTAAAAACCACTTTTAGTAAATATTCTTATAAAACTACTTTTTAAAAACAAAATTTCGTTAGTAACAATGCCTATTTACTTCTTATTTAGATTAAATATTTATTGAAACCCCTTAATGCAGCTCAAAGAATCATGGCGACTTTATGTCAAAACGTCAACAAATATTTACCGCTGAAAACGAATATATTTCTTATTTTTCATAACATTGACACATATTATTTGTATATACAATTTTTCACCATACATCGTGGCATTTTCAACTTGAAATTGAATAACTAAAACACTTTAAATTGCTAATAACATCAACAAATAATTTAAAAACGGTGGTCCATAAAAGATTTACTCACGCGGAGACAAGCAAAGAATAGAAATTTCGGAGCAATTCGGGTGGCGTCGTGAACACAATGATTTTTAATTGGTGGGTTACTTGGGTTTGGAATAGACAACATGCGCAATGTGCAATGTTACATCTCCGGTCTCTTTTATCTAAGCTTCGTACAAAGAACTTGACAATCATTTATTATAAAGAAATATTATTATATTATAGCTAATTTAAATTGGGTGAGCAACAAAAAATGACAGAATTGATCGTTTTTTGTTAAAAGTTAATTGTCAGAGCAACAAAAATTACGCCACGTCACACTAATATAGCGTAGGTATTACAAATTAATTTGTTTTAGGGCTGACATGGAAAATACTCCAGAATCCCGGCCCGATGTGTTGGATGTCGGACGTGCAATGCAACGTTTCGGAATAATCGATTACATCATGTTTGCATTTATGTTAGGAATATGCTTAATTGTTGGATTATTTTTTGGTTTATTCAAGAAAAACAAAAATTCACAAGAGTATCTAGTAGGAAGTAGAAATATGCCTGTTATACCTATTGCTATGTCTCTAATAGCTACGTAAGTATTACAAAGTATCAATATGTTAAAATAAGGAGTAAAGTAAAATTATTAAATAATTACTAAAATATTTAACATTACAAATAAAGCAATTTAATAAAATATCCCAAGCTGGGTTCGCATTTTAATAAAAACATTTATAGATAATTTGAAAAATGTTTATTTTAAAATTTGGTAAAATCAAAATTAACTTCCTGTAATACAATTTATAAAAAATAAATGTCGCATAATGACAAGCAAGAAGTAAAAAGCAATTTGGGGTGTGATTGGGTAAACAAAAAAAAAATAATAATAATAAATGCCCACAAAATCAGCAACAATTTGTAAAAATATTGTGCATTAAAAACATATCTGTTTATAGTAAGTTAAAAGATATTATTTGTAAATATACTTGTTTGTTATTTAGAGAAAATATATATTTTTATTATTATGACACCACTAGAAAATAGAAGATTTGTGGAACCTAAAAAAACAAGTATATGGGTGAGTAATCCCAGGTTTCAATGTCAAAGTTTGTTGAGATCGGCATATTTTTGGCAAGAAGCATATTGAAATTTGGGAGCTAAAAAGAAAAATTGTTAAAAAATTAAAAATTACAGTAAAAAAATTATTAAATTAGAATATAATTTTTAGTAAAAACTACTCTTTTAATGCACATATTTTTTGCCATATTACCTATTTCTTCTAGTAATGGCCCAATTATAGTCTATACGAAGTTAATTCGAACGACATAAAAACTACATATCTACTTACCGTCAACGGATTCTTTGTATATGGGCGGCGTGATATATATTTTTTTTCAGAATTAATTTTATTTTTCATATACCTATACGGATATTTTTTTTATTAGAAGTATAGAGTAATGCCAAAAACACCAGTTAGTCCTGCCATGAGAATTTAATAAAAAGTTAAGAGTCATTATCTGAATTTTTAGAGCTTGAATCTGAATTTAGGGTTATAATAATGGGGTCAATAGAAGATAAAATACAATATTCATTTTCCTTTTCTATTACATGCTGGGCTTATTTTATACATTTGCTACTGTCGTTTACTTCATTAATAACCGTTCGTATATTTCCTAGTACAGAAACACTGTCAGTTGGAGATTAATAATATTGTCTCAGTTTTTTTTTTTTTAACAGCAGACCAATTCATCTTGATTGGATTGAATTCGCAGTAAGAGGAAGGAAGACGTAGAATAGTATGAACATGAGCTTCACATATCTTGTCGATTACATATGCTTTTTTTATAGCTTCAATTAACACTTTTTCAGTAGCCTTTGTAGGAATTTCCATATTTTTAATTTCCATGAATTTAAGAATGTCTTCCTTATTTGTGCTGCTATTAGAAATTTTGTTATGTAGACAGGAATAATAAGGCGCATTGTCCATAACATGTATAGAATTTGGGGAAATATTTGGCAGCAGTTGTTCAATAAACCACTTTTCAAAGAGAGCATTAGGAACAAACCCCTTATTACTGCCTGCGCGTAGAATGATAACTCTTTTACCGCGAGAACAAGATCCCTTTAGAGAGCACTTAATACCTTCATCTATCTAACCATATTTAAAAAGATCATGTGTGTCGAACCAAGTTTCATTAAGGTACACTATCTCTTTTTTTGATTGGCGGTATTGCTTAACTTTTCGTAAATACTCCTGCCGCCATGCTACGATGCGAGATGACTCCATTGTGACCATTCTTTTATTAATTTTTTTTATACTTGAATCCAGAATCTAGCAAAATATTATGTCTAGAGATTTATATTCATAATCGGGATAATCCCGTAACTTGTTACGAACCATTTCTAAAGTTGGAACCTTGTTTCCTTTGTAAAACTTGTATATAACTTCTTTGTCGGCATTGTCAACCTTCTTAAGCTTCTGATTATCTCTTTTTCGTTTTGCGGAATGATCAATGACATCTCCTGCTCTAACAACAGTATAAATTATAGTACGAAGAAGTTTAGTCAGCTCACAAATTTTTTAGGTCCCATGCATTTCAGTTTTCAAGCAAGTGTAAATATTTAATATAAATCTTTGGTTTTGAGGATGCAAGTCTTTATTTAAAAAAGTCTGACGGCTCCGCCATAGAATTTTCAACCGAGCCTTCAACATTGTCCGTTTCAATATCACAAACATCAAGAAAAGGTCTCCACAACACCATCTTGATTAAATAATAACCACAGGAAAACAATTTAGAAAAACACGACACAAATGCAAGCCACTCACTAAAATTCCCAAGAACGCAGAATAAACTAATTTTACAAATCCTAACTCAAGCCACAGCACTGACAATTTACTCGAAAATGTAATAGTCCAGTCATTTAAGCTTAAATTAGGTAAGAATCTCGGAACTGGAGATACCCAGCTGTAAGTCTGTAAATACTTGTATATTGACACGCTAAAAGTTATCTCAAAACCTACATATGGTAGGGTGTACGCAACTATTAAATTTCAAGGTCAAATGTCACAAAAATCGTTTTTTTGCGCTTTTTTGTAAATATCTCAATTTTTATGGGTTTTTTGCTATTTGTATTTATTATCAATATTATAGAATACAAAATTCTCTACAAATTTTGTTTAAAAAAATTCAGATTACAGTAAGAACGTAAAAGCTATGGAGCAGCAGAGAAGATGAAACAATAGTTGTACCAGTTACTCAAGAAAAATTCTTATCAAATCGAAATAACAAAGATATGCTCATTAATAAGTTAATTGAAAAATTACAAGCTGCAAATATTACTACTAAACAAGCCAGAGATAATGCTGATGATGTTCTTATTGTTGAAACTGCAATTGAAGAATCAAATTCTGAAAAAACTGCAGTTATAATAGGACAAGATATTGATTTACTTGTCATTTTAATTGGGCGTACACTGTCTTACGAACAAGACATTTTCTTTAAAAAAGTTGGGAAAGGAAATGTAAAAACGGGGATATACTTGACTAAAAGTTTTGATAATTATCCTCATTCCAAAACACATATTTTATTTCTGCACGCATTGGTGCTGTGACACAACTTCTGCGCTTTTTAAAAAGGGAAAAAATCATTTTTTAAAGTTTTTGAGAAACTGACAAATTTGAATGAACTAGCTGCAGCATTTGAGAAAGAAAATTGTTCGGCCCAGAGATTATTAGAGAGTGGAACTCAAATCTTATTGGCAGTCTATAATGCTCCGAAATCTGTGAAAAGTCTCGATCATCTTCGTTATATGCATTACGTCAAGTCTACAAAACCTAATTAACCTGTGCAGCTTTCAAATATTCCACCAACAAAAGCAGCTGCTCATCAACCTTTCAAACGTGTATATTATTAAGTTCAAACTTGGTTAAGGCATGATTTGGAACCCCAGGTATGGAGTTGGGCAATGCGAAACGATTTTCTGGAGCCTATCATGACAATTTTACCACCTGCTCCAGAAGATTTGCTAAATACAATTTTCTGCAACTGCAAGAGTGGTTGTGGTTCGCGATGCGGATGCAGGAAAGCGGGCTTGCAATGCTCTTTAGCTTGTGGCCAATGTAATGGGCAAGCTTGTCTCAATGCTCTACCATATCAGAGCGACATTAACGAAGATGGAACCTTTGACCCCGAAATCATGGAAGAACTTGAGAGAAATGTCGTTGAAGACGATAATGAAGACCAGTTTGAAATTTACCAGCAGCCGGAAGACGACGATGAAGAGGAAGAAGATTATTAAAATTATAAATTGTAGTTTTTGTACCTTTTATTCCATTTTTTTACTTTTAATAAAAATAAATGTATTAAATTAAATTTTTTAATAAAAAGATTAATTCATAATTTATTTGTTTTTTTTTTTCATCATGTAAGAATTTATTAATATTAATTAGGTTAAAATTCAAATATAATTCCTATATTTTCATTAACAATTTTGCAATTACATGGGCAGGTAAGTGTTGTTAAATAAATTAATACTAAATAAAAAGTGGATAGGTTAGGAAAAAAAATGATAAAATATAATATAATAGTTAATAAAAATTGACAAATATTTATAATCATTGATTTATCGATATTTCATCAAATATATATGGCGCGTTTTCGACCGGAGGCACCGGTTGACCTGAAGTGATGCTGTGACCGCGCGCTCTCCGTCATCTATCTCGAAAACGGTTCACCGTATGAAAAATTTTTTAAACAAAATTTTTAGAGAATTTTGTATTCTACAATATTGATAATAAATACAAATAGCAAAAAACCCATAGGAAATGAGATATTTACAAAAAAAGCGCAAAAAAAACGATTTTTGTGAACTTTGACCTTGAAATTTAATAGATGCGTACACCCTACCATATGTAGGTTTTAAGACAACTTTTAGGGTGTCAATATACAAGTATTTACAGACTTACAGCTGGGTATCTCGAATTCCGAGGTGAACTTACTATAATGATTGGACTATAAATAAACAACGGTGTTTACAATGGACCCGACATTTTTTGACCTTCATATTTTGCTTATGTGACCATGCAATATTATTTGTTCGACTAGATACTGCGGAATTACAGGAGTGAGAGTTAAGAACTTCATAAGAGTTCTAATCATCAATTTTATATGGGAGGTTGTATATGATATTAACTAGTAAATTTATCAGACCCCGGTACATGAGTCTTTTATATAGCTGTTTGAATTGACTACGTATAGAGAGTATAGATTATACTTTAGGTTTATATTTAATTTAAATATGTACGTAGTATATAAAATTGTTTTTCTGTACTTGTTTGTACTTGCACTTGTTGTGTATTCAATAAAAGGCATCTTTTATCAGACGCTAAACTATATTTATTAGAATATCAGAAAAACAGTTTTACTTGTCGAGCAAGAACAGATGCTCAATATCGCAAAAACTACATGACTTTCAATAAGTACTAAAACTAGACTAACAAATGATTAAACGATATTTTTTCAACGCTCTAAAATACTATGGAATGACCGTATGGAAAAAAATTTTCCCATTATTTATGGATATGTACGGAATTTTCTACTTTGATGTATAAAAAACAAGACGGAAGACGGAATATGTAATTTTGTGTAGTGCTTGTTTTTTTTTACCTTTTAGAGCCAATCGGTTGTACATTTAATTTGTCATGGGTTTAAATATACCGTATTGGCTTCGAAAATTTTTGGCGCGAGAAATTTGACCATACCAATAACCCATATTGCAATCACGTTTAGCACTTATAAACTAAAAACAGCTTTTCCTGTAAAATACCCATCCATACAGTTACGGGATATTAGAATTAAACCATCGATATATTTATATGTTTTTTTTTAGTTGGGTTAGTGGCATTTCTCTATTAGGAATACCAACAGAAATATATGTCTATGGGATCCAATACGCTTACATAATTATCGGATTTTTGGTGACAACTTTTATTTTTAAATCAATTTATCTGCCAGTTTTTCAAGGACTCAAATTAACATCAACTTATGAGGTTAGTACATAGAAATAAAGTTAGAGGTAGTTAAAGAGACAGGCGTAATATGCTCATTTAATTAAAAAATCTAATATTTTAATATCAGGTTTGACAATGGACAATTTTTTTAATGCCTACAATTGGTTATTATCTTCCAAATAATTTTTGTTCTTTTAACATAATCACTATTATAGGTAACTGCTACTTTTTCGTACATTGATTTTACCCGGATACATGGCACTGCGAAAACAATGTAATTTTCAAAATTAAAATATTTAATATGTAAACATTTAAATTATTTGTAATGTGAACTGACAACAAATTAGGTAGTTTTAATTAATATTAAGTATGTCAATATATTGTGTAAAATTACTTGATAACCAATGTAAACTAACACAATAAAGTATGTAGTTCCAAAATATATCATGTAATATTACAATTTATTTTTTATAAAAGCTTATTAAATTGTGAAAATATATAAAGATTATACACATAATAAACTCTATGTAAAATGTAATTTTTAAAATATTTTGTAAATATAAACAATTTACCATTCCAAAATTTATTAAGTTTCTTCACACAATATATAAAGGTTATACACATAATAAACTTATGCGGTAACTGTTCTATCCACTCTAAGTAGTGAGAACACTGCAAAAAAATAAATCCACCAATCACAGTTCATATTTTGGTCACCCTACTACTATTTTTAAAATTTTAAATAAGTGACAATTCTGTCAAACTAATTGTCAGTATATTTTTTAGTTATTGAGATTAAATATACATTAAACTGAATTATTTTTGTGTAGAATCGATAAATAATAGCATTTTTACTTTTATTCGGTCCAAAAAACTAAATTAATTACATTTATTAAAACTAAAACCTAGAATATGGTCTGGAGACTAATTAAATTAAATCTTTTTTTTTTCATGATTATTATATTTTGTAAATTAGTAAAATTTATAAATGATTTAAAATTTAGTTATTTTGTCTTAATTATCTAGGACAATTTTTAAATTTGTAGATTTTGGTTAGTGGGTCGTAGAAAAAATATACTGTATAACTCGAGTGAATTGTCCATATCCACTAGTATTTTCTTCTATCGTCGATTAGTATAATAATGTCGAATTTCAGTGACAATAGACATGTAAAAAAAAAAAATTAAATAATTAGTACCTGGCGGTTGAAAAAAATGTATATTTTTACAATGTTGTATTTAATATTGTTTCCTTAATTTCATTAATATATTTTTGTTTTTTTTTTAGTACCATCAATTAAGATTTGATAAGAAAGTGAGATTGTTTGGCTCTGTTTTGTTCACCATTGGCATGATAGCTTGGTTACCTTTGGTAATTTATGTTCCTGCTTTGGCGTTTAACCAAGTTACAGGAGTTAACGTGCATCTTACTACACCAGCTGTATGTATAATATGCATCATTTATACGTCATTGGTTAGTAGGAAAAAACTGTTTTTACATTGTGTTTTGACATTTTTAGTTTCATATTTTCATTCAAAGTAATTTCTAGGGTGGTTTAAAAGGTGTCGTTTGGACTGATGTTATTCAAATAGCAATCATGTTTGGAGCAATACTTTTGGTTGTGATTAAAGGTACTATTGATCTGGGAGGCATTGGAATTGTTCTTGAAAGAAATTGGAATAGCGATAGAATAGAAGGACCAAAGTGAGTTTCCACGTATAGAAAATTATTGCACATATATAATACAACGTTTAAAGCAATTTTTTTCCTTAAATGGACATTATTTAATTATTTTAATTCATTTATCAAAAAATATTTCTAATGCAATGTATGATTTTTTCCATAAATTTCAAAACATTGTCCAAAAATAACCATTCAAGGTTAACAGTAAATCTAATTTTATTAATACTACCAGATGTGGCACCAATTGGCCAAACAAGGAAAAAAATTTTGTGGTGAACTACCACTTTCCTAACTAGATATCTATTATTTTTGTTAGTAAAATAAACTCATAGAGGAATTATTTTATTTTGTAGCTTTGATCCAAATCCCATGTCCAGACACACTATTTGGGCACTAGTTTTAGGTGGTGGTGCTTATACTCTACATAGCGCTGGGGTTAATCAAAATATGGTACAAAGATATCTGGCTCTACCAACTCTAAATGATAGCAAAAAGTAACGTATAGGCAATTTTGTTTATGTTCCCATTTTAGTTTAACGAGTTATCATACATAATATATGCTTTGATTTCTAACTATCTTCATAAAATCATCAAAAATCATTAAATATCTTCTATTTTATTAGCTTCATAACATTTTAAAAAGAAAATACCATCCTAACTTATAATTGTAATCTGTATCATTGTCTAAAACTTTTAGAATTATTTTAAAAATTATTTTTGTTAAGAGATTAACATGTCAGGTGAGCCTTAGATATTAGTATATAACGTAACAAGACTTGTAAGTTAATCATTTCGCACGAAGTGAAAAGGCTTACGAGTGCGTAATGGGCTTACAACTCGTATAACGTAGTATACTTTTTCTGCGCCCACTTATTTTCATCTATTAAATAAAGGACATATGCTTGTGTCGCCAATCCATAAATTTTAGATATGCAATTTCGTACTTTCTTTGGATTTTAGCGGTAACAAATTATATGTGGCACCTTTAGCTTTTTCTAAAATCTCCGGTGGATTGCTCATAACTTCATCACTTTCACTACTAACAAATATATTCGTAGGTAAAGTTGATAAAATGTTCGAATACAATAATAGGGCTACTATAAAAGAATCATCGGGTTTGACAAAGCTATAATTCGGAAAGTATGATAGATACATAATAAGTGACATGTCTATAGGCAGCGGCAACCTCTACGTTTACAACGCGCGCGTGCGGAGGCAGCTGGTCATGCGCACGCCACGTCACGTCAGCAGTAATGAAAATGGCGACTATGCAGCCGAAAGCATTCTGTGTGTTAGAATACGCGCGATATTTATCGGTTGTGGCAGTGCAACGTGCATTCCGACGGGAATACGAAATTGCTCCTCCAGGTCATCAGAGCATTCTACGATGGTATCGGAACTTCAAGGCTACAGGTGTACTTGAGAAACGTAAAAGCACCGAACGACCACGAGTGTCCGATGCAACAGTGGATGCGGTTAGACAATGTTTTGTGCAGTCGCCACCATAGATACATTAATAAAACAAGATGAATTCTTTAAATGTACGCCACTGTCAACACGTGGTAGTTCCCAGCATACTATTAGTTAGCGCCACCGTCGCAATAGTATGAAAGCGATGTTGCCGGTTTCCGTAAACTTTCATGAGATGAGAGTTATTTCAAATTCATCTTACTTTAATTTTGTATCAATCTACATGCGCACCATAGCATCCATACAATGTCCATACTATTGCTGGGATTTTTAAAAGAAGGAGTTGACAACCTCGTAAAAAATGAAAACCGTGATGGCGGAAGGCCAAAGGCCAAATATGATAATGAAATGTTAAAACTTAGTTTATGAATTATGATGAAAGTTCTAAAGATCGGCAAGTTATTTTTAAGAAGATAAACAGTGTTGATTTGATGTAATTAGTAAGTATTAGCAATTTAATTTAATATTAAAGGTGTGTAGATTTATTTAAGGACTTTGTTTATCATTCTTTTCTTAACCTTATATAATTTCATATTTCATAGATTTTCAATTGTTTTTATATTTGAAACAAGAAATGTCTGGCCCGGGTATAGTCAAGTATTCTCGAGAGTATTCTTGTTCAGCTCCTAATTGTTTAAATAAGTATTATTCTAAAATTCAGAAAGTTGGATACCTAATCAAATCTTTTTCATTTTCCTTCCCATATTAAAATTTGCCAGAACTGGTTTAAGACTTTAAATTTAACTTTAGATAATAATACCCGCTATCTTTGTCCGGACCATTTTTGCCTGAGTCTTAGTAGGGTTTCATCTTTCATCAAAACGTAAACTGTTAGTTGGATATTCTGTACCAATTTCATTAGATAATTGTGCATCCAGTATCCAGTTCCAATATACAACCTGAGAATTAGATTTTAGAATAAGTTGAGGCCGAAGCACAAATATAGCAGCATAAAAAAACAAGAAATTAGTTGCAAACTTAATAATTAGTGATGAACAATTTGAACGACCCTTGAAACGAAGAAAAACAATAAATAAATAAAAGTAGTCAGAAATTTAAGTCCTAAAGAGAAAAAGTTGTATTTTATTAATATTTGATAAGAGAAATTATTCAATAAGACATATGTACACTTTTTGTTTTGTTTTTATAGGAAACACGGGACACCCAACAAAATATGGTCCATTTTTCCAAGAATGGGGGAGACTACCTACTATTCATTTTACTTACAATTGTTATTTACTGTTGAGCTCATGTATGTATGTATTATTGTATAATAAATAATTAAAATATATGTTTCAAATATTTTATTTTAATGTAAATATTTTTTGTTTATATTTTTTGGGGTTTTATTACGAAAAAAACTAATATTTATGTTAAATGCATTATTTTGATGTAAATATTAGTTTTTTTTAGAGTAATGAATGCCAAAAAAATGTAAATAAATAATAAATTATATTTGAATGAACCGCGGTTCGCTTAAAGCTCTTCTTTTTTTATTCTTGTCTTTCTTATTCGGCCTCTAACTAGCAAGTCAATCAGCCAGTGTAGTTCAAAAAAAAATCCGTTCCATACTAATACGCAGCACTGTTTGTTTCCAAAAATTAACACGGGATCTGACTATCTTCTTTATTAATTTATCTATGGTCGCCACAACAATCCACTAGTCAAGCAGGCCGTGCACTTGGTATGCCGCAGCAAACTGTGTGGAAAGTTTTGCGAAAACGATTGCGATTCAAACCGTACCGTATACATCTGTTGCAAAAGTTACGACCAAATGACTGTGTCAAGCGACTACAGTTCTGTAATGACATGCAGGAAGCCATGGAGGGTGACGGATTCGCTAACCGTCTGGTGTTCAGTGACGAAGCGAAATTTTATTTAAGTGGCAAGGTGAACCGTCACAATATTCGGATATGGGGCATCAAAAATCCTCATGCAACTGTCCAACATGAAAGGGATTCTCCAAAATTGAATGTTTTTTGTACCGTATCCAGCACAAAAGTGTATGGACCGTTTTTCTTTAATGAAAACACTATGACCGCTATTTCGTACCTCGATATGTTGCAACTGTGGTTAATGCGGCAACTGACGGCTGATTCCAACAACTTTATATACCAACCAGATGGCGCTCCACCTCACTGGCATAAAGACGTGCGTGGGTATCTAAACGAGGAACTCCCTCATCGTTGGATAGGCCGTTGTGCGGAACACGATTTGGCAATGTTTGCGTGGCCTCCCAACTCTCCTGATCTTACATCGTGCGATTTTTATTTTTGGGGGTACATTAAAGACACGGTGTTCGTACCACCTTTACCTGCAACACTGGCGGAGCTCAGAAGACGCATTACCGCTACTGTCAACAGTATCGACCGCGATACGTTGCAGAGTGTGTGGACTGAACTGGACTGTCGTTTGGACATATGTCGTGTGACTCGAGGAGCCCACATTGAACATTTGTAAAGCGCTAATAATGTAATGTTTTCTCTGCCTACCGACATACCCTTTATTATTGTATCCATCATACTTTCCGAAATATAGCTTTGTCAAACCCGATGATTCTTTTATAGTAATCCTGTATTTTGTTACAAAAATTGACAATATAAATGACAAGACGTTTATTTCCGTAGCATGCTAAGAAAACGCGACTAATTTTTTGAAAAATTGCATAATGTGTTGCCGACATTTAGGGGCATCACTTTTTTAATCCATAAGATATTTCGCTAATGCTAACAGTTTTTATGTTTTCTAATTGATTAAATTTATGTAAATAGGCCAAATAAAGTCATGCGTAGGTAAAAATTTGATTGCAATTTGATTAAACTAAGAAATTTAAGTTTTCTTATTAAAATGCACGTGTATGTTATGAGATCTCATTACGTGCATGTTATTGTTAAATGTCATTTACAAGGAATGTTAACTGCGAATGCGATTTGAGTGCGGTTTTTAACGTTTACTGACATGGATGTAGCAAAACACATTTTCAGTTCATTCTTTTAGATATTGAATAAATAGCACGATATGATTCTTTTAATAAACATCTTATTGATAAAATTGAGAATCCTTCTCATTTACTAATACGTATTTTGTAGAGCCCTTTGGATCTTCTTCATTGGTATCAGTGCAATTGTAATATTTTGTTCGTACTGCGGTATGCTTATTTATGCAACATATTACAAGTGTGATCCTTTGACAACAATGGTAAGTACTGACATTTCCTATCTCTATTTTATGACTTATGATTCTATTAAGCCATATTTTATTTGCTGCAGTTAGCTAGAGAAAAAGATCAGTTGTTGCCCCTTTTGGTCATGGAAATTTTAGGAGATGTTCCTGGACTTCCTGGATTATTTGTTGCGGGGATTTTTAGTGCTGCTCTTAGGTAATGCTTGTCTTGTATAGTATCTAAAATTTATTAAAATACAGGGTGTAATTATTCAATATTTCAATTTGTGTTATAGACATACAAACAAGTTTCAAATAAAAGTTATACAGATTTGAAAAAAAATATTTTAAAAATATTTTTGGATATACAAGGTGTTGCATTTTTGCCTGACAAATAAAAATGTATATTTTTAAATAGAACACCTTATATTTTATTTAATTTTTAGAATGGCTTGGTAATATTATATTCAATCCTAACTTTTTTTTAAAAAACATTACAGGGTTGCCAAGTAATTAATTTTTTTATGAAATTAGAGAATCATGCAGACCCCAAATGTAATTATCATAATTTAGGTAGATTTACATTTATTTCAAAATTGTTTATTAACCTTTAAGATAGTAAGTTAATGAATATTGGTGATAAAACTGGTTTATTTTATACAGAGTGCTTTAAAACATGTTTTAAATATGGCTAATTTTAAGTTCACTTTACTCATTTTTTTTTATGCAACACCTTGTATATTATTTGAGCATAATTTTTTTATAAATTTACCTGAATGATACCAACATGTTAGCCAATAACATATATACAGGGTGTCCCAACAGTGCGTATTATTCGATAGCTGTTTTATTTTTGAAAATACGAAGAAATTTTTAATATAAAAGTTGTATGAAATATTCTTAAATGTACAGGGTGTTCCAAAAACGAGGTGCTGAACAAAGCTTTATTTTTTAAAGCAGAACACCCTGCAGGTTGTCCCATCAGCAAACAATTTAAATTAATTTCAATTATTTGGTATGTTGTATACAGGGTATTCAAAACGCGAGGTTACGATTTTCTCAATTTTTTTTAATGAAATTACTGGTATTAATTATTTGGTGGTATAACATACAGGGTATTTCCTTTAAAAAATCGAGAAAATCGTAACCTCGCATTTTGACATACCCTATATATAACATAGCAAATGAATAAAGTCTATTAAAATTGTTTGATGATATGAAAACAACCAAATATATTAACTACCTGCAGGGTGTTTTGCTTTACAAACGTATAGCTTTGGCACCTTGTTTATGGACCACCCTGTATATTTAATAAAACTTGTTAAATATGATCATATAACTTTTATATTAAAAAATCTTCGTATTTCCCATAATAAAACAGCTATAGATCAATTATGTACTGATGGCACACCCTGTATATGTGCTATTAGTTAACATGTTGGTATCGTTGGATAGATAAATTTATAAGGATTTTTATGCTAAAATAATATACAGGGTGTTGCATTTGAAAAAAATTGAACCTAAAGTTAGTCATATTTCTGACATGTTTCAAAACACTCCTGGGCAACCCTCTAATAGCTGCAATTAATTTGAAAATGGTGAATGATATTTGCAGAATAATTACTCTAAAATCTTACCATTAGTCTTTAATTTCAGTTTAGACTCCTTTTATTTATTCTAACAATTTTTGTGTGTTAACCGCAAAAATTGTTTGCCAACAGCAAACGGCTCGCTCCAGGCTTGCCAAAATTTTAAAATATTTCGGGATATGAACAAAGTGTGATCCGAAATTAGAAAGGCCTTACCCTAATCCAAAATGTTTAAAATAAACCATTCACATAATATTTCTCTTTATAATTCAAATAAAAAGTATTTCATTTGAAATTTGATGGAAATAATTACATAATTACGATTTTTCCATGTTGTTTTGTGGCTTGTCTTTCAAAAAATCAAATTACTGATTTTATAAAAACACCAATGTAGGTGTATAGTCCAATAATAAAGATATAAACATCACTAAATATTAAAAAAATATTAGATTTAAAAAAAACTAATTTACGAACCGCAACAGAATATTTTTTGTCAACTCGATTTTACATTCCGTGACGTCACAGCTTTCCTTAGCAATGGACGAAGAGGACTCCGTGGTGTCTACGAACCGTGGGTAATGATAGGCCTCCACATACTTTGATTACAGGCCTCTGATAGGCACGTGATAGGTTATGATATGGCAACACTGTGGGCCTGGTGATTTGCCAGGGTCAATGATATAGGTAATTATATAGATTGATCATCCATGTTTCTAAAAACAAATATAAGCTTGTGTCTTGAAGTAAAAATGTAGGTAATAATGTTTTTTAGTATATTAAATGGCTGGAAATTGGTTTTAAAACACATTTTTGCTAAACCGATTCGAATTAATGAGCACTTTCCAGGCACGACCCGCTTTGAGCAATCTATATAATGATATATGTATCACTGACCCTATCAATGACGACGGGTCCACAGGATTGCCATATCTAAACTGTTAGTTCCCACTGGCCAGCATTTTGACAGATCGTTGGAATGCCTAAATTGTACAGGGAAGTATCAAAAATGACCAAATTAATATCTAATAATTTTAAAAACAAACGTACTCTACTTATGTTACAATGTTAAAAGGCTCTAAAGACCGATAAAACCTTATGTGTCCGTAGGTACTTTTTGTTGAATAAAAACTTTAATTTGACGATTTTGCAAAACAAGCTGTAAACATCTGTTTTTGGGTTCTGTCGCAGTCAATAATTTTTGGTTTATTTGAGAGATTTAAATGTTATTAGTGTTCATCATTTGTACGATCGGTAGTGTCATTCAGCTGTAGTTGTCACGATGGTTTACGGTATACCTAAACGTGTGGAGATAATTTTTATATTTGGCTACCAGTGTTATTTATGAACAGCTCAAAGATTTAATGAAGGGCATCCGGACAAAAATGTAAGTCACGTCTACATCCGCGATTTAGTTGAAAAGTTTAGAGAAACGGGATCAGTGCAAAATAAAAACAACGATGCCCCAAATTGTGGTCCTTGGACAATTTGCAATAGAGCCTACTGCAACAACACGTCAAGTATCTGCAATGACAGGACTATGACGTGAGTCATTTAAAAAGGTTTTGAAATTACGTAAGTTTCACCCGTACAAAACGTAAATTCTTCAAGAACTAGGTGATGATGATCCAAACCGACGAATTGAGTTTTGTGAACTCATGTCTGAAAGAATTCGCATTGAACCTAGACTGTTAAAAAATATTTGTTTCAGTGATAAATGTACTTTTATGCTAAATTGTAATGTAAATAAACAAAACTGTCGGTACCGAGTGATGCGAACCCGCATCGATTTAGGGAAGGTCACACTCACTATCCTTAAAAACTGAATGTTTGTGCAGGGATCTGTAACGTGTGGAGGGTGAGTTACCCCACGGTACTTAGGCCTTATTAGGCCCATTGTACATCTTCCTGAGATGATAGGCATGTCCTAGCTCGTGAACTAGCCTACAGATTTAATGTAGTTGACAACGTCGCCAAGAGGTGCTTCTCTTATATCGGCCGGTGTTAGCCGATACTCGCCGAACACAAATTTTCTAATAAATAAGAGCGTCGAGCAATCGTTAAAGATATGCTCGATGGTCTCATCTTCTTGTTCGCACCCTCTGCACAGTGCGGATTCTGACAGCCCCATGATATGGAGATTCTTTCGTACTTGGCAATGACCAGTCAGAATACCTGTGACTAGGCGCAGATTCTGCCTAGTCATAGTCAAGTATTTGTTTGCTGCAGTGTTTTCAGGGTAACTTAAAAGCTCCCTGGCAACTCTGCAATTTCTTGTTTCATCCCATCTTTCCTTGAATTTGGTCAGGGATATTAGGCGATGCTTTAATTGGCACCTTGTTTATACCAGACAATTTAAGTGGCGTCATTTATCTGGATATGCTGGAAAACACGATCGAACCTTTAATTGTTCACGAATTAGAGAACCAAAAGGACGACCAAGGCAATCTAGCTCTAGACGAAGATTGGCTGTATTTCCAACAAGATGGAGCCCATCTTTACTGTGCAGCTGCAGTTATAGGCTTTTCAATCATGTATTACAAGTAGTAGGGGTTTGCTATTTAAACTTTATTAGTTGGGGTAGGTGGGGCTTAGACGGTTGTTGGAGGTGAGTTCTCTTTCATGTCTTTTTAGTTCCTCCTTTCTATCCTAGAAAATATTTTAAGCATTTTTTGATATCATTTTTCCTTTGTAAAATATAGCCCATTGTAAGTTTTTAAATTGTCACACTGTATAGAATTTAATTAAAAGAATTGGTAACAAGGAGAACTTTTTTTCATAGAAAATCGCTTCTAAATCTATATTGTAATGGCTAAATTAGCTGTACCTTATCAAATTATCGTTGGTTTAAAATTAATGAAAAAATGAGATTCAATATACATAGATGGTTATGTTTTAGTTCTTTATCAACTGGTTTAAATGCAATGGCCGCCGTAGTTTTGGAGGACTTTTATAAACCCTTCTTTAAAACTAAGTTGACTGAAAAACGTACCTACTTACTGATGAAAATGACTGTACTCATTACGGGAACAATTTGTGTCGGATTAGTATTTGTAGTAGAAAAATTGGGACCAGTCTTACAGGCAAGTAATAATATCAAATTAAAATTTTAAGTCATTAGTAAGTAAAACACAAACAGCTAGTTGCAAGAATGTTCACTACTGCATAAATTATTTTCGGAAATTTTTTTGAACTCCCGAATATTTTCTTAAAATAATAATAATTTAGGCACTAGGCAAAGTTTGAGAATGGCAGAGTTCACAGTTTCAACATCTGTCAAAGTTTATTGGTATCGTAATTATGAAAATTCTTGCAACTGCTTTTTATTCATTTGTTTTTTTAATCAACTACGATTGGGCTATTATTTTATTATTTTGCAATATCTGTAACGTGTGTAACATGTTTGTATATTATTTCTAGATTTTAATTATTTTTTACAGTTAACCATGAGTATTGGAGCAATAGCGAATGGTCCATCTTTAGGATTGTTTACCATGGGAATTTTACTACCATGGATAAATGCTAAGGTAGAAAATAGATTGTGGATGCTCAAAGTTTCCAGCAATAATAAATTTGATATAATATTCTGCCTTGTTATAAATAATTGTAATTTTAGGGAGCTCTAGTTGGTGGAATGTCTTCTTTAGTAGTTATGTCTTGGCTATGTTTAAGTTCACAAAGTTTAATATCGTCAGGTGATTTGACTTTTCCTGAAAAGGCTGTATCAACGGGAGGTTGTCACTACCATTTTACTCCAAAATATTCCAACAGAGGCTTCAAATCAATAATCAATTTAACCGAAGTTACTCATACAGAGTAAGTATCTAATTTTTAAAATAAACAATAGATATTAATTACATAGACTCAAAATTCACAATACTTTTAAATTTAATAAAAATAGTAATGATACCTAAGGTATAATTAATTTAAATTATTGAGCAATCATTCACTGTTGTTGGGTTCTGTTTGACAGTAGTCCCCTTACAATGACCCTAGAAAATAATTACAAAGCATACAAAGAACACAAGACCAATGATCATTGTTGTCAAAGCCGGTGACATCCATAAAAATCATAACTGAGTTTTCTCACCATTTAATCATTATTATTATTTTTCTTTTAGCGAGAAATATATGATATATCGATTATCGTATCTCTGGTACTGCCTTATCGGTACTATCGTAGCAATGGTTGTGGGTCTTTTGGTAAGTTTTATTACTAAACCCATGAACCCAAGAGAAATTGATCCGAGATTATTAGCGCCATTCATTAGAAACTTAATAAATTCTAAAACTGATCCTCAGACGATGGAAAATGTAGCAGAAAATGTTCAAAAATTAAATGGGCAAACTAATGTAAGTTGTTTTTAATATTTTCTTTCGTACTTTTTTGTGCTTTTTAACCATTTTTAAAAAAGGAGGAGGTTCTCAATTCGTCGGAATATTTTTTTATGTATGTTCAGCGGTAATTTTTTACTGCGTTGTCCGATTTCTATGATTATTGTGTTGATAGAAAGGGGAGACCTTAAGGGTAGTTCCATATACAATTGGTCAGGATCTAATAATCTAGGAAAAAATAAAAAATCGGCACAATTTTGAAGTCGGTTTTATAAAATTAATTTTATTAATTATATTAATTTTAATCTCTTTTTCACTATTTCCATTTGTTGCAATATCCTTCTTCAAATCTTTTTCTTATGGGTCCTGAATTGATTACACCGGTCGACATGATTTTTGGGTCTAACTTCTGCATGAAATTTTGGTTTCTCCTGTTACAAATAAAGGTAAAAATAATTTTTCCGATTACAGTTTGCTTTTGTAGAAAATAGAACAATTTTTCGAATTTTAAAGAAAAATTACTTATTTTTATATATATTTTTTTTAATTTTATTTTTAATTACGATAAACACAGTTTTGGCCGAACATAAAGTTTTTTTAATTCAAGAATTGTGATAAAAAATAGCATATAAATGTAAAATAGCAAAAAAAGTTCAGAAATGAATAATTTTAGTAGTTCTCTTATGATTGTATGGGCTTTCTTGTATTAAACTCCAAATGTTATCGTCCATTATGGTCTTGGTGTACTGCCCTTGGTAACTTTGTTCAAAGTCCATCACATCCTGGTGAAAACGTTCTCCTTGCTCATCTGAGTAGGCACCCATATTGTCTTTAAATTTATCCAGGTGAGAATGTAACATGTAAAGTTTATGGGACATTTTTCAGCCTATAATTTTAAAAATTTTAAGCATAGTATTAATCGAGTCTTTTTAATTGTCAGCTCTGTTGTTAGCTAGAAAACCATTAACTACTGGTTTAAGACTCGCATAGGCTAGTTTTTCATGAGCATTGGGGAATTCTGTGAAATCATCACTGCTCATTATTTATTTGTGATCCGAAGAAAATACCCGCTTTTACTTTAGCTTCAGATAATTCGGGAAGAGATCCCTTTAAATATTCAAAAGCTTCAGAATTTAGACCCAGATATTTATTTATTTCTCCATCAGGCCTAATGTTATATGTAACGGTGGCATCCAATATATTCTTAGGCTCTACAATTGCTTTCGACTCGATATTATGTTTTTCTACACCTACTAGATATAAGCTTATTTACGCACAGATTACAAAACGAAAAAGTAAACTATTGCCTTCAACTGAACGAATATATTTCATATCCGTTCTAAATAGTGAGAACACTGCAAAAAATGAAATCCACCAATCACCGTTCATATTTTGATCGACCGACTGCTATTATTTTTAAAATTTTAAATAAGTGACAATTCTGTCAAACTAATTGTCAGTATATTTTTTAGTTATTGAGATTAAACATACATTAAAATGAGTTATTCTTGTGTAGAATCGATAAATAATAGCATTTCTGTTTTTATTTCATCTATAATTATAAATAATTTGTTAATTTAAATAAAACTATATTTATGAAGTCAATTTAATTACGAGTATTAAAGTAACAACAATAAAAGAATTGGTAGTCTGTGATTATCGCTCTTGCCTTCCACACTGAAGATTCGAGTTCGATTCTCGGATGAGAAAAAATTAAATAAACATTTTTTGTTTTCGTTTATTTTATTTTAAAAATTATTAAAACTCATGAGTTATTTTAAAATTAGTTATTTTTTTTTAATGACCTAAAATATTTTTTATTTGTAAATTTTTGTTAGAGGGTCGTAGAAAAAATATTCTGTACAACTCAAGTGGATTGTTCACATCACATGGCCATCATATTCACTCTTGTTGCACAAACTACTATTTCTTATCTGAAATTTTGGTTTTTTACCTTCTAAATTATTTTTGCAATTAAACACAGAGGTGCCCATTTTTTATTATGATTCCGGATTTTTTGGTTGAAAAACTTCGCAAAGCTTCTAATTTGCTGCCAAAGCACAATATTTGCTGCTTTCTTTTTAACAAATTTAACTCCTAGGTACCTGGCTGAATCGGTTCATGGGATGTCTTGTCGTTACTTCTTCTCCGGGGGGATGATGTCTCTTCTTGAACAGCACAGCCTGTGTCTTGTCTGCGTTGATCTTTATCTTCCATCTAATGCACCATTCTTCTATGTCTTCCGATGCGTCTTGTAGATATCTTGATATGAGTCCTGGCTGTGTGCTCGTGGCTGATATCGCTGTGTCGTCCGCGTAGAGGGACATGGTAGTATTTTGGGTTTTCTAGATGTCTGCGGTATATATGATGTACAGCAGTGGTGACAGTACCGCCCCTTGAGGTACTCCTGCTTCTGGGATTTCAGGTCTTGATAGGACATGTCCCATCTTGATCCGGAACTGCCTTCCGCCGAGGTACGACCTGAGCAGCCCTGTCATTCCTGCTGTGAACCCTTGTTCTTTCATTTTGAAAATCAGCTCGGCGTGCCGTACTCTGTCGAATGCCTTGGCGATATCTAGGAATATGGTGCCTGTAGACTGATTTCTGTTGAATCCTCTAGTGATTCCTTCGACGAGTCTTAGGACACAGCAGCAGTTATTACAACCACAATATATATCCCCTGTAGTTGTGCATCTCTCTTGTTAAAGAGATGGCACTAAGTTTGTAGCGCTAAATGCGACTGGCCGCTCAACTAATTCGATATGGCAGTACATTCTTAAGGGAAAGTTTAAATTTCCCGCCAAAATCGTAAATTTACAGAAGCGAAATGGCGGGAATTTTTAAATATATTCATTCGGCAATAATAATTGAGAAGTATATTGCATGTTCTATTAAACGAGCTGTAAATCCAGGCGCTATTTTTATTTTAATAGCTAAAAATAATATGAATTCTTTTTTTGTTAGCTATTATAATAAGAGCAGAGTTTGGATTTACAACACATTTAAAAAAACATGGAATATACTTTTAAATTTTACCGGAATCACTTATTTTTTACCTATAGATGTTAGATCTGAAAAAAATTGGCTCTGGTAAAAAAAAATGTATAAAATATTTTATTTGAAAAATTATAAAACTTATTTAATGTCGAAGATAAATAACTCTAGCCATATCCATTTTACTGAAAAAAAAAGAAACAATATTAAATTAAACCATTTAGTTATTACATGTTTGTGATAATACAGTGTCGGCTATCGAATGTTTTACAATATGTTTTGCTGTCTAGGTGAAAACTACAAAGAGTTAGCATTAGTGCGAGAAGAAATGGAATACTATGAACGTAGCCAGCCGGCTACGTGGGGATGCATCGCGCCATATGCATGTTCATATTACACAGCACACAAGATAACATTCATATTATTCGTTTCCTGATTCCACTAACGCTAACTCTCTAGTTTTCGCTTCGATGCTAGCCAAGCGTGTTGAAAAGTGTTCAATAGCCGATGCTGTATATAAATGCTAACATCAACAAGTGAACTATTTTTTTTTAGTTTAGATGGATATCTTCTTCAAAACAGGAGAAAAACTGAAGCAGTAAATTATTAGACTTTAAGGCTGTTGCCACCGCAAAACTATTATCTAGGGCTTTGATGGCAGCTATAGGATTCCCTCCTTGAACCGTGTCCATAGGAAAGCATAATAACTTAGTTAAATTATAATATTAGAGGATATTAACTGAAAAATATAAAAAATTATTACAAACTTACGTCAAAATTGGCAACTACATTAAAAGAAGGGAAAACTGAAACATAAAATTGTTATACTTGAATTTTAAAGGCTTTTCCCACTAGAAAAGGATTATCTAGGACGGGGACCCTTGGATGACAGCCATAGCAATCCCTCCTTGAATACTCTTATTCTGAGTTTATTGTACGTTTTGCTTTCCATATTAAATAATTAAGCACTTAATACAACAACACAAATAACAATAAATATCGCTTAAAAAAAATTAATAATAATGAACGGTATAAATTTTGTAGAAGAAAAAATCAAAAAATTATCACTTGTAAATACTGACACTACACGCTTCGCTTGTCAAAAACTGTTTCTTCAACCAATGAACGTGCCGATGTCAGACGTGTCAAAATTCAAAACGATACTATATAGCGCCATGTGGCTCTGTGCCTGGCCGCAGCCTAACTCAAAGCCATTTCTTGAATTCTAGTGACATTACTACAGGAGATATATTGTGGTTACAGCTGTGATAGACAAGTAAATACTCACTACTGTGCTCTGCAATTTGGTATCGGGTCGATCAAAGTGCTACCATCTGTTGCTCATAAAATGAATTTAAATCTTTAAAATTCACTTATCGACGTAAATCAGACAAAAGCAAACTTTAATACTGCTCTGCTTAGCAAAAATGTTCCTATCTGACACGAGGAAAGTTTTGAGATATTAATGATTTTGTTTTCATATTGTCCACTATGTAAATATTCAATGTAAGAAACAAGTGCTTTGTATCCTTATATTGTAGTTAGGGCGTTTTTGCGTAGAAAAACATTGTAAATGCATGTCTGCATCACAAATATGCCTTTAACTCACAAACTGAAATTTTGTCAGATAGGACGTTTTAGTTAAGCAGGGCAGAATTGCTAAAAATGGAAAGTGTTTTTTGATATCTAGAATCAGAATTAAGCATTAGAACAGAAACACAAAGAAAAACATTTTTTTTTGTCGACTTGTGTTATCCTTAGTGTATTTTTATATTTTTGTTCTGTTTCATGATGATATTCTAAGATATCTGATTTTCATCGTCCAATTTTCTTTTCCTTGAAGCATTTACATTAAATTATTATTTATTCTTAGTTTTGTCGGTAAGCTTTTTTTATAACCTTTTAGTGATCGTCCTTTATCTTCTTCATTTGTTTCATTAATGTTAAGTCGATAATAACTAAAATAATTGGATATAATTCATTTACTCTGTGTATGATGTAATATGATAATAATCAAATTAATCATTTGATAATAGGTATGGGGTTTTATTTGTAAAAAATTATTACTGTTTTGGTATCTTTTATTATTATTTATCAAAAAAATATATGTTATTACATATTTAACTTTTTTTAGGATAATTTGCAATTAAAAACATTAGAGGAACAGAGTGTTTATGAAGTCAATGAATCTATTAAAAATAATGGTGATCTAAAATAAAGTAAATGTTGTAATTATGTTAATAAATAAATAAAGTTTAATTTTCTAATATATTTTTTTTGTATATCCAAAAAAATATTTATTTGTGATATCTACCTTAGGTATATCTTCTGCTATTTGTTTTTTGGTATTGGTATATTTGTAATAAAAACCGACGCTCCTGGGTCTGATATTTTTTTTATTCTTTTCTCTTAAAATATTTTGTTGCGTTTTTCGAGTAAATATCAATCGCTTTCTATTTTGCTCGTCTTTTGTTCATCGGGTGTAAATTGTTGAAAGGCAAACTCGAACTCAGAGGGCAAGCCGGATATTGTTCGGGTTGTTTTTCCGGGTATTATGATATGTGAAAGTTAGGTAGGTCCGTTACTCAACCTTTCTCTGTCTAATGCATTGACTAAATGGAAAAATTAAAGTATAAATACGGCGTTCAAAAGTAAGAACTGGGTTAGAAATCTTCCTGCCTTTCTCACGCCCAGTTAACAAAAAAAGTGTAAGATTCAGTTATCTTTAAGGTGACTCCTTTCTATATACTCTTCCAGTATATTGAATGGTTTATCTTGTTAACTATAAGGTGACAGCTTTTTTTGTTATATTTGGAAAACGCAGTAAAAGATATCGAGGCAGCAGATAAATTATTTTCTCTATAAGACGACTTCTGTTGCGCTATACACCGTTACCTTTAAGGTGACTTCTTTCGTTATATATTTGTATATCGAGAGGTAGTTATTTGCAGAGGGGTGAAACTGGTATGCGCAGGCCTGGGATAGAGCAAAAATCAACCACGTCCGCGTGACGCTGCAGTCGTGTGGTGGGGTAGGTGGTGGGAGTGTAAATGACAGGTGAATATTGATTTTTATGGGGGTGTCATGGCGTCTTGGCTTATGGCTTAAACTAAACGAGAGCGTTGTTTATTTATATTGGTGACTATTGGTTGTATTCAGTTGTGTTTACATTTCCAATTTGCTTAATTGATTTAGTTGACCACTGTTAATAAGCTTGTTTTTCCATTATAAATTTGTGCTTTTTGAGCTGTTAAAGTACTAACAAAAAAAAAAACAAAACAAAAAAAACAAAACTCAAAAAAATTAGTAGTAGTGGTGGTGGCAGTAGTAGTAATAGTATGGTGTTCGTTTTATGATTTTTTTTTCAGTGCAAAACAGTTGTGACCTTTCTGGAATATGAAGCAGCTTAATCAGATATGTTGGACTTTTTTTCGAGAAGGAAAGTTAGTAATCTACTCATTTATTTTATACTTATACTGTGTATTTTCTGTTTCATGACGTTTGGGGTTGCCTAGCTGTATCATCGAAGAAGAAGCAGACTAATAATATATGTTGGATTTTTTTTTCGAGAAGGAAAGTTAGTAATCTACTCATTTATTTCATACTTATACTGTGTATTTTCTGTTTCATGACGTTTGGGGTTGCCAAGCTGTATCGTCGAAGAAGAAGCTAAATAATAATATATGTTGTACTTCTTTTCGAGAAGGAAAGTTAGTACTCTACTCATTTATTTTATACTTATTGCCGCATTTGAGAATCCACATCGGATGCATTTTTTACATCTCGAGCGTTTTTTTATCTACATCGGACACATCTGTCCCATTACATTTACGTATACTGAATGACGCGATCAAAGATTTACTACATCTCAGATGCATCCGATATGGATTCTCAAACGCGGCATATACTGTATATTTTCTGTTTCATGACGTTTGGGGTTACAAAGCTGTATCGTAGATGTTGGACTTATTAAAAAATAAGGTATTCCTCGGACTTATAATTTTTATTTAATACATTTATTTTAATAAGATTGTACTTTGTACTGTCTTTCTTTTTTCACAGATAAAGTTTTTCACAAAATGATGGACAGTGTTGTATCCTGGAATATGTAGCAGCCATCCAGCTACTTCATACATAATACAATTTTCATATACATTACATTTTTTAAATATTGGATTTGTATTATATATATTCATTAATAAATTTATTTTTTGAATATGCTTGTTTTTATTATCTAAAAACTGTTAGCCAAATTAAGATTTGTTCACACAAACTGCATTTTTTAATGCGGATAATTTTTACTGTCAAATTTGAATGGCTCCGCGCTTTCCTTCTCTTCTTCTTTTTATTATTTTCTCTTCTTTCATATGGCCTCTTACCAGACAAGGACTTAATTGAAAAAAAATCAACCACGTCCACCAGGTGTCGCTGAAAATTCTATCACCGTTTTTTAACGTATGTGTTCTGTGGTTATTTGTTACCTATCAGGTGACCAAACAGACGGATGTTTTAAAAGAGCTAAATTTTTCTCTCTTCTAAGGGTTTTGTAAGATTGCATCTCCGAGTTATTGGATTCTTTGTGTGACTTGTCTTGGTGAACCGTTGTCTATGGTGACGACGCCGGATAAAGAAATAGCGAGTTATTTAGTACCTCTGATTCAACCGTATAAAACTTGTGGAAAACGACTAAAAGTATTGCGATTGTCGTTCTACTTTTGTCGACGATATCTTTTTCTTTGTTCTGAGGATCCCCGTGCGTAGATTTTAGCGATAATCGTATCTTCTTTTAGACGCTACAATTGTAATTATTAAGTTATGTGGGTAGTTTTTTCATTTCATTGTCAGGGCATTTCATTTTATTTCGTAGGGCAATAATTAATAATTAGAATTACGGTTATAAAAATCAATTATTGTAAATCCAGTCACAACAACTAATAAACTAAGCCCTTCTGGTTTGTGATCATAAGAATCAAGTGTCAAAGCCCTTTATTATTTTAGGGTTTAGGAAACCAATAACCTGCTTTTAGGGCTATAAATTGTTGTTTTTTGCGTTTATTTAAATGGTAGACAGATGTTTAAATTGTATTACATTTATTTGTTGAGTCCTATTGTTAAGTAAATTACGGTAATAATATTTTTTTCATTCTGTATGATGCAAAAATGGGTAAAATCATGTCTTATTTCTAAACGTTGAGATTTTAGTTTTTTTGTTTTTAAGAGTGAATATTCCAGCAAACCATTCTGTTACATGTTCCCTCCTGTTACATAACTAAGAAGGACTGTCCTGTATGCACTCTTATGTGTTATTTATGGAACCGAACACCTAAGTTCAAACTTAGCACCATAGTTATATACCATGTATATAATTAAAATTTATGTTGCAGCATTAAATATCCGTTATATAAATTTAATCACATAAAGATTATATCAATTTATATATCTATGTGTAATCTACATTAAAGTAACAATTTGTACTAAATTATTTCGTTCAAAATGTTACATGGCGTATATATACATAAATGCTGTTGACCAAACGGTCCTTGAAATAACACATGTTTTTTAGTAATGTAAGTAGGTATATCTGGTGCATTATTTTGTGTTTCAATGTTCAATGGCGGTTTATGGAAGTACCTGTGGCATTTTTGTATTTATTGTGGAAAATAGCAGGTATGTTGTGTTTTTATAATGATATTGAGTTATTATATGTGTGTACTGTATTTCGATGATACATTTGAGGTGTAAATATTAATTTTTATTCTCTTTTCAGGTCATGCTTGATGGGGCCCTGAATTTCGAGGCCATGGATCGTCGTTAATGACAGATATTTTCTGATTTTTATGATGAATTTGGGTTATTATATTTGTGTGAAATATTTCTATAATATATTTTTGGTTTCGGTTATGAATTTGTCCAATAAAATTATTGATGTACCTAAAAAATAGGTTTAAATTACTTTTTTTATTCCTCCAAATATTTTCGACGTTTTTTTGTAAGTATTTGTCATACATTGCATCACATATAAGGAACCTGCTATATAACAAAATTAGGTCATTTTTGACAGTAATCACGTGAGTTATTATGTAACATGTAAGTTACTTTGTTATGTAACACGGAACTAGTACATGTAAATGATACATATATGTTACATGTTTGTGTTTGCTGGGATGTATAGAGGCGGGTAACAATATAATTTTAGGTATTACGTTTAGGTAAGCGGACATATTAGGCTCATCTGGGCATCACTTTAACACATAGGTTATAGAACTCCAGTATAATTGTTATCCTTTTAGAAAAATGAGGTGATATTGTGGTGGGACTACAGCTTGTGATTTCGGAGCTGTCATTTATAGCATTGATTTGTCGGTAATTAGAGCAAAAGAGCATAGCGCCGAAAAAGAGCCTTGAGCCACCCATAGTACGTGCGGAACCTCAATAGTAGGGCCTAAAAATGGTACTTTTTCCCCACGTCTATGGACCGAAAAGCCTGATAGAGGCAGGATGGATCTTAAGAAAAGATACCCCAAAAGTGGGCCTAATGGACATCCCCCTTTATATCAGGTGTTCTGTTGTCGCACAAGTTATTGTTATACGAGTATATGCAGTGCTGAGCACAATAGTAAAATACGGTATTGGGATATCAGTGGAAAGGTGTTACGCAAGATGAGTTTAAACTTATCATTTAAATATTTATATTCATATTCATATCTTGCCATACTCTTCGTGATACCGCTGAACTTCACTATATCAGACAATACGTATGCAGGTATTATATTAGCAGTGTGTATGATTGTGAACTATAAAGGGATAACAAATATTATAGTTATTATAAAATACATTATGGGCAGGTTGTACAAAAAATATTCTAAACTCATTTTAACTAACAAGAGTTTTATTTTTAACTAGTTATATTCAAAAACAAATGTCATTTTTAAAACTATGTTTAACAATAAGTATACGACAAGGTTCACAGTTTAAACTAAGTCTACATTTTAACTGCCTATTGTACAACCCGCCATATGGTACAATTAAAAATTAATTGTATTTCTTTAAAATGCATTTGATTCTGTTGATCGAAACCATTCGATAATAAAATTAAAAAGTATGGGTATAAAGGTAGTTTTTTATATTTATACTACAAAGCATGCATTGGAGTAGCATGTAGATTATCTAAGTATCAGGTCAGAGAGGTTAAATTTAAATAACTAATAAAATATGTAGTACTGTCATCATACTTTCGCCGGTTCATGGAAGCTTAATATTACTTCGGTTAGAAATGAGACATGGAAAAGGCCCCACATGTGTTAAGGCGGGTACAGATCTGAGCACGTACGCGTATGAGGCAAACCGAGGACGCATGAGCATGTAGATGTCAACGAGCTTCCGAGGCGTGGCAAATTGCACCGTGCGGCCTCGCCCCGATCCGTTTGTTGGCGGTACATCAAAGAGAGGCAATGAGCAGTACGTGCTCAGTCTAGACGGGGAATTTGTACCGAATAGATTATAGCGAGTATTTAAGGTTTATTTTGCATGAAGTGGAGACAGAAAAAGGTTTTGCTTCTCTGGATGTATATAATCAGCGAGATATTTTATGGAGAGCAAGACAAAATAATAAAACAGGCACTCAACTACGATACCACCATTTTTTTTCAATTATACGAGTATTCTGGGTGTACGGTTGCGTGCTCGCGAATTTACTGGGTCGGTGGCGAACAGCGCCTCGTGCGTCCACCATTCGTGTTTACAAAATGCGTCGCACGAGGCATTCGGTTCGGCCTCAGCTTGCCTCATACGCGTACGTGCTCAGATCTGTACCCGTCTTTATGTTAAACTAAACAAACATAATTGTAAACTTCCCGCTTTAAGAAATAAGTTTCAATAAAATCTATTTTTTGTATTTATTTTTTTGACATTCCATTACAGCTACATTGAACTCTAAATGAAATTTTGGGGTCCTACAAAAATCACTTCATGGGTATCTACTAGACGTATTTTTAGGCCAAGGTTTGAATATTTGTAAAACTAGGTTAGGACCCGGTTCGTCAGGTTACAGTAAATTCTAACTATGGGACAAAATTCAAGCCTAGTCAATATGGAAATTAAGGACATTTATTTTTATAATTATTTATAAAACAGATGATAAAATAACGATATGTCTTGCTCTTGTGAACTTATTAATAGCTAAGTACGTATTATTGTTATTTAAATTACGCATCAATAAAGATCTACAAAAATTATCTCAAATAATAAAAATAATTAATTGTATTTATACGATAAAAAAGGCTATAAAGTAGCAAATTCAAGAGACTTTAACAGTAGTATAACTTTAGATTCTGTTCCAATTGAAAATATTTAATAGGTAGGTAAATCTGTTCAATTTTTATTTATTGGTACCTGCAATTTGCAATTTACTGTCGACGTGTTTTTTATATTATTTATATTTGTGCAGACTCATAATATAATTTTAATTTTGATCAATACTTATATATACAAAAACTTTTTATCATTGGTTTTGTGAAAAAATGTAGTCGTGATAAAAAGTTGTGCATGATCCAAAATTAAAAATGCAACTAGGTCATTCACTGAATTTACACCCATATTGGATTAAGAAATAAATGAAATATTTGACTGGTCAGTTGTATTTTAAACATTTACTCATGGGTGGCGTTATTTTGTATATTGTAAGGGGTTCTTATAGAAACAAAATAAATATAAATTTTAGGTATTTAATTTTGCCTCAGAAGGCTTAAAAGAGATAGTTACATGATTTTGTTGTTTAATAATAGTTTATTCAGAACAAAAATTTTAATTTACATACACAGTTTTACCCTGCGATTAAGTACGTACAATGATTAAAAATAAAATAACTTTTAAAATTCTATATTAAACAGTGATTAATATAAATAATTGTCTTTTGACATACCTATAAATCTTCAGCATCACTCTCAAAATTTGTGTCACCAGCGTCGCTGTCATCATTAAGGGATATAATTATAGGATTAATTTCGTGTATCCTGTTTTCACGTGTCCACCAGTCGTCAATTAATTTATCACATTTTTGAACACTTTTTTGCCAAATTTCTGGGGTTGATGTATCCAGTGCTTGTTTCCATATTTCCCTTACTGCTTCGTCGCTGTAACCATTAATTCCAATATGATTGTCATAATACGTTTTACGTATACCCCAAATGTGTTCGATGGGGTTAAACTAACAATGGTACGGTGGAAGCCGTAACACATCATGTCCATAACTATGTATGAGTTGATCTACCACATACATTTTTGGTGGTTCATGCCGTTTGGCTAAAGTTAACAACTCAAATTTAAGGGCGTATTGTTGAAATGCAACATTTTCGTTACGTAGTCATTCTTGTATTTTGGCTATAGTCCAATTCTGTCTTAGCGGTTTGTTTAAAAGTTATGTGTGATAGCTCACATTATCTAACATAATAACAGATGGTTCACTTAAATTTGGTAATAGTTTTTTATTTATACATTTGATAAACATATCCGAGTTCATGTTATCGTGGTAGTCTTCTGATTTTGATTTATTAGAGGAAAATATTAATCCTGCACCATCTACAAATCCATTCTTTCCACCTGCGTGCAAGATTATGTATTGCTTTCCCTCACCATTAGTATCTTTTATTGATTTTATGTTTTCATCTTGCCATATTCTTTTCGTCCCACCTTTGAAAAATATCCAGGTTTCATCCAAATATATAAATGAAGCTCCGTTCTCTTTTAAACGAGTATATTCTTTAAAAAAATGTATTCTTCTGTGAACAACATTATTTTTTTTTTCACATAAAGCGTTTCTATTATCTTCTTTCTTAAATTTGAAACCTATTTCCTTAAGCAACTTCCTGTTCTGCCAAATTCACCAATTTGTATTTCTGTTAAGTTCGCCAGCAATGTGTCTAAGTTGACATGTTCCTTTTTTGCACGCATTTCATACATTATATCACGAATACGAAATTTTGTCCCACCAGATATATCCGACGTTTGCAGTTTTTTTGCGAGGTGTGTATATTTTCTTTTTTTTTTGCTCTCTCCGCTTCTGACGTTTTTCAAAACAATTTAATTTTGAATCACTAATACCGAGAGCTGCACAGACGCGTTCATGCACACTCACTACTGGCTTTAAAGGGTCATCTACACGTAACACGCCTTTCGGCATTTTCAGTTTCGATATACGTTCTCTTCGAAATTCAAAACTGAACTAAATAATTTAGCGCAATTAGTCCTATAACATCAGTACAAAAATAGAACATTTAATCTTAATTTTATACCTGAAAAGGGAACTTCCAGAAATTCCTGACCATAAAGCGTTTATTGTATTCGGGGAAAATGCTATTACCATAAACAACGTTCAAAACAAAATTATAAATGTTTTCATTTTTTCGTGTATTACTTTAGTAATTTAATTTTAATAAATATACTATATAAGTAATAAATAATTAAATTATATTCACCCTCTACCCACCGGAGGACTACGCTTATTTTACTCAACTACCTCATGCGAAATTATCCTGTAGACCGACTCAGTCGTGCATCTGTTTCTTAATCCGATATGGGTTTAAATTCAGTGAATTACCTATATCACATATCAATTTATTGGAGCTGTATACGAGGTTTGTCTAAAAATATGAATATTACTCAAGAGTAAAGTACCTTTATTTTTTACAATACATAAGAACAATAAAGTAAAGTTATTTTGAATTAAAAGCTATATTCAAATATACAATTACATTTAGCATAAAAATTCAGGTTAGGTAATTATATACATTTTACATATAAATTATTTGTAGTTATAAATTAATTAATCACCAAACCTGAATTTTAATGCTAAATGGCTGTAATTGCATATTTGAATATAACTTTTAATACAAAATAACTTTACTTCTGTATTGTAAAACATGTAAAATTCATATTTTTTGGCAAACCTCGTATACAGCTTAAAAAAATTGATATGGTTGGCATTTTAAGTTTTGGACCATGCAGAAGTTTTTATCAAAAATACATTTTTTCACAAAACCAATAAAAAAAAGTTTTCATATGGTTCCAACTTAGGTAGAACTGTCATTTCAATAAACACTTTTTGCACGAGTTGCATACAATATTTTTTCTACGTTCATGCAAAAACCAAAAAATGTTTTATAGAACTGCAGTTGTATTAAACAAATCAAAGTAGCCGTGATCGTGTACCTTTGTTTGAGGCATTTATTTACGTTTGTGTTCATAATTTGTAATATTTTTAAAAAAATTTATTTTTTTATTAATTTATTTATTAAATGATTGAAAATAATATAAAATATGCAATTGTTTTTAAAACGTAACACAGAAAATGAAAATGGACTAAATATTTGGCGTTGATCTGAATATTTATGTTTGTCATGATCATAAAACGCTGTAGTAAAATGACAGATGAGTGCAATAAAATTTTTATTGCACTAGTACAATAAAGACCCAGTTTTTCACTAAATATAGTTCAATAAAGTTTTGTTTTTGCATGAACGTAGAAAAAAATAGTTAATTTATAAATAAAATACATTGGGAGTATTAAAATAAAATGTATGTCCAAAGCTAGTTAAAATTGGAAAGTTTTTTAAATACATTATAACGAAGAAGATAGTAATTAACTATTGCATGGTATTAAACGATCTTTTACTATATAGGGTGAGATAAAAACATATATCTTTTAAAACGCATACTCAATAAAAAATATTGCATTTATTTAAAAAAAAAGCGTTCAAAAATGGGTATTAAGCATTGGTATGCTTTTATGTTTAGTATATACCCAAAATGCATAATTTTGTTAATAAGTATGTTATTATAAAATATATAACAAAGTAGGATAGTATTATAAGAGTTTTTTTTTGTCACAGAGAAAACGATTATTTAGTTATGACATCTTAAACTCAAAAATACTCGGACGCCAGTTTTATTAATGTGGTTTTCTCCTCGCCCTTTCGATACTGAGCCAAAAGGACATGGATAGCCTAGTATTCTAAGGTTTAGAATGTTCTTGAGTTAAATTTCAGATAGCGATAATAACAGGATTTAATTGTCACTAATAAGTAAGCTGTTTTTTTAAATTTTAAAAGCAAGATTGTTTGTATTATAAATTCTTTAAATAATTAGATATTTCTGTTTGAATCAAAATTTTAGTCCATGGTCTTAGCAAAAAAGGAAAATGTTTCGATCATTTCGAAATACAGAAGTATGCCAAAACCTTGTTATTCTAAAATAAGATAGTAAATTTTAGAACTAACATTTTAAAACTGCAATTTACAATGATCAAAATCAATTTCCTATTTAAGCATTTTTTATAATTATTATAGATTGACGGATCAATATGAAGATAACTTTAGGAAGTATTTTGATGCTCATAGCACTAGCCAATATCAACGTGGGTAGTACATACAGGTTGGAGAGGTCTCCACAAGAAAAACCATGGGAAATCAGTCACGTTACAAAAACAGATGACGATGGTAACCTCAACGCTGGTGTTAATGTGAAAAATGACAACTTTCATGTAGGTTGGGACCAAATTTTCGACGGATCTGGTAAATCCAAACCAAATTTAAACATAGGTGGTACATATAAGTTCAAGAGGTCTCCACAAGAAAAACCATGGGAAATTAGTCACGTTACGAAAACAAATGAAGATGGTAATCTCAATGCTGGCGTGAATGTGAAAAATGACAACTTAAATATAGGTTGGGACCAAGTTTTTGATGGATCTGGTAAATCAAAACCAAATTTTAACATAGCTGGTACATATAGATTCAAGAGGTCTCCTCAGAAAAAACAATGGGAAATTGGTCACATTACAAACACAGATGAAAATGGTAACATCAAAGCTGGTGTTAATGTGAAACATGATAACTTTAATTTTGGTTGGGATCAAGTTTTTGACGGTTCAGGTAAATCTAAACCAAGTTTCAACTTCAAAATTTAAGAATTTTCTTGGATTGAGCCTTAGATATCACTTTTTGAAATTTAGTTGCGAATCAAACACAGATCAAAATTTAAATGCTAGTAATGGTTTTGATGCAAATATTTCGGTTGTCACAAAGTTTTTAATGGTTCCAGTTCATGCAAATCATGCACTAAGAATGTAGTAGTTTCTTTATTTTTCTGAATATATTTTTGGAAAGAAGTGAGAAGTTACAAATGTGATAATTATTGTATATTTCTTTTTTTAAATAAAAGTGTTAATATAATTATTTAGTCTTTTTCTATTTGTCTTATTCCAAGCAATTTAAATTACAATTTTTAAGCTCAACAGATGCCTAATCAAAACAATACTATTAACGTCAGATTCTACATAATAAATATTGTTAAATTTAGATAATTTTTTTTAAAGTCAATAATTCGAGTTTTACATTTTATTGAAGTAATAAACGAAACTTGTTTCAAATACCTGATTTTGAGTGTAATAATATTAATTTAAATGCTGAAATATATAAAAGGGGTAAAACTAAATTTATCTACACTTTGTTCATTGTTATTGTAGGTGAGTTTTGTTTCTTAACTTGTTAGGTACTTTTAAAAATTGTATAAAATATAAAAATAGCACTTTTTACTTCAATGCATGAGCTGATGTTAGATATTTTGAAAAACATGATAAATCTATATACATATATATCATTTTTCAATGTGCCCATTCGTCTGAATGCGATACAGATAATCCACTTGAGTTGTACAATATAATTTTTCTACAACCCACTAACGAAAATGAAACTGCAAAAAATAAAAATAAATGTATTTCAATCCTAGAATTGAATCCGGGACTTGTGCATGACAGCCATATATTCTAGTCTCTGCTCCATCGCCACATATAACATTTTAGTTTTAGTACTCGTAATTATATTGATTTCATATAGTTTTACTAAAATTTTTGGTTTATTTGTAAATATGTATAGACAAAATAAAAATAGAAATGCTATTATTTATTGATTCTACTCAAGAATAACTCATTTTAATGTATATTTAATCTTAATATCTAAAAGATAGACAGAATAGGTTAATTCTTTGAAGACAACTTATTAAACATAGGCAACTTCTCATACATTTTCACGTAAATACAGTTGCCTGCCTATATTTTATTATTGATTTTTATTGATTATACTTAGATTTTTTTAGTTTAGGCAATAAAAATATATAATAATAATAATAATAATAATAATAATATTAATAATAATAATAATAATAATAATAATAATAATAATAATAATAATAATAATAATAATAATAATAATAATAATAATAATAATAATAATAATAATAATAATAATAATTATAATAATAATAATAATAATAATAATAATAATAATAATAATAATAATAATAATAAAAATAATAATAATAATAAATGAATGTTTTACTTGTCTTACAAATCCATATACTTTTATTAATACTAACATATATACTTTTTAATTACGAATTCTATTAAAAATTGTATTAGTATAAGTAAAAATAGTCCATTAGTTCCTAAATGAATTGGCGCTGCTGTCACGCACGAAGCGAATATACTCCTTTAAGGATAACGGGTAAAAACTTGTTTTTTCAAATTTATTGCAAGTAATGTCAAATCAGATCAGCAACACTGCACATGTCACTTATTTTTATTATTACGATTAAAAAAAACGTCCTAGGGCAATCAAATACAACTATTTTCTGAAATATTTGATTGGAAGTACTTACAAAAGATGATGAATCATTTTTTAACCAAACACAACTTTATAAATATTCAAGTCAAAATTAGAAAAAAATATTGTATGTAACATGTTATGAAATGCCGTTTTGTGTAATTCGTTCATTTTGCGGGACCTCGCTCCGCTCGTCCCCCAAATATTTACTCGTTACACCAAAATAAGGCATTTCGTAACTGGTTACATAAAAAGCTATTTAAATTAGTTATTTTATCTTAATAGATTTTCGTCAGTGGGTCGTAGAAAAAAATATACTTTATAACTCGAGTAGACTGTACTTTGCCTACGGCGTCGTGCTTTCACTTTATTTTCGTGCGACATGGCCAACATACTTACTCTTGTTGCACAAACTATACTATTAGTGCTAATTGCAGAGGTGAAATTTGCGTTACTACAATTTCTTTTCTTAAATCTTTTCTCTCTTGATTCTTTTTGGGAACTTCTTAGGAATTGGCTTTTAAATTGAAATTTTAAAAGTAAATTTGCAAGTTCCCAAAAAGAATCAATATGATGTATCAGCTTTCATATATACTTATGTTATAAGCCAAGAAATATAGTAGATTTACCTGTGTAAAATTAGAATAAAATTATTGGTATGATGGTCTAATTCGATTTCCTGATGATTCCCTTTCATTTGCTCCCGGGCTATCCGGTTTAATTTTTTTAGGGGTGCTTTTTTAAAAAATAGTCGATTTTTGAGAACACTGCACAAACGGCTAGTCTAAAGTTAAAAAATGTTGTCTTCTTCATCTAGAGCAGGCCTGCACAACTCAGATTTTCAAAGGGCCAGGTTTGGAAAACCGTAACTGGACGAGGGCCGCCAAGAGAGGTCTGAGCCTACAATTAGTCGGTTCAGATTTCTAAAAAAAAGGCGACACCTTTCATTTATAACTCCTGCTAGTCGAGCTTCTAAAAAAAAAGGTCGTCAGCTTATAATGTATACCCTATCCTGCTGATCGATCAGCCTAAATGCAAGAAAATGAAAAAATGTATAATTTGACGTAAGCAGGCCAAACTGGTCGACAGCCAGCGGGCCGCCAAAACGATACTGGCAGGCCGCATCCGGCCCGCGGGCCGTATGTTGTGCACCCTTGATCTAAAGGATATTTGTGACAAAAAACCTTGCTAGAGTACTTACCCTAGTATTTACAGATGTAGACGTAGAGCGTCCTGAAGAGAGGCATGTCTTGTTAAGGTTTTGTCCTGCTTTCATTTCTCGAGTGCTAGACCTGAATAAATACACTTTACAGTATTTATTTTTTCAACATAGTCATTTTTAAATTCACACAAGAAGTAGACTCTAACAATTCTATCAATTTTATCGACCTGACACTCACTAAAAGTAACAAATACATTAAGTCCACACTATTCGGGAAATAAACACAAATTCGCCACTTAATTCAATGCAACTCCTTAACTCCTTTTAACAAAAAAATTTCTGGCTATGTACACAGACTTATTACTAACTTATTTAAATATTTGAATAAGAATGATAGTTTTACACCAGATAGAGTGAACAATAGAGAGATATTGCAAATTTCTATAACGTCAGTCACAACATAATGAGAGGCAAATAAATACTATGCTAAAATAAATTTTATTTCAAACCTGAAGTTTTGACAGTAGAGTCCTTGTCCTAATAGATATTTTTAACCTCATTTTAAATAAGTTCATCTCTTTTGTTGCCTATAACAAAGAATACCTACCCATGAAGCGAAACTGAATTAGTTTTCGTATGTACCAAAGCAAGGGAACTTAATACACTGGGAAACGTATGAAAATTAATCAATTTTTGTCGTTTGGTTTATAAGAATTAAACACATACTAAAGTAACAATTTTTACTATGTTCATTATGTCAAATAGATTATTTTACTAAGAAATAAGTAACAATAATGACAGTCACTACACAATAGCGAAAGCAGATGACCTGGTCATTCTGCAAATAGGAAATTTTGAGAACAATTATGGAACAGTGGTGCAAGGACCATTTACTGTTTATCAATCCCAAGAAGACAGAAATGATTCTTTTCGCAAGGAAAAGGATGAAAATTGAATTAAAATCTACAGAGCTCCTAAACACAAAACAAAATTTTTCAACAGAGGTGAAGTTAACCTGGAACTCATACTTAGAAAACAAAGTTAAAAGAGCATACATTACTTAAGAACAATGCTGCCGAACCGTTGGGCGCACCTGGGGTTTCTCCCCCAGAGTCATCACATGGACTTACATGACCATCATAAGATCTATGCTAACATACGGTGCAGTTGTCTAAGTACCGAAAATCCAAAATAGAACAAATTCAAATAACAGCATGTCTCAACATAACAGGAGCCATTAAAACCACACCAACCAGAGTCACGGAAGTCGTTCTTAGTCTCACTCCCCTTGATATTTATATTGAGGAGATTGCTCTGAAGACAATGACACGCCTCTTCACGGTTGGAATAGAACCTGATGTACGATCTGGTGAGTCGAGACGTCGCTTTTGGTAAAAAGCCCGCCACACGTTACATATCCAGAAGTACTGTAGGTAGCTGTAACTGCATTTTGATTGCATCCTGATAGCAGCGACTTGGTTCCTCGAAGTGAGTTTGTCATATATGTTAATTATTGTTTATTTACTGTTTTAATTTCATTGGTTTGAAAAACAAAAAATAACATATTTAAATAAAAGACTAAGTAATTAAACATAGGCGTAAATTATCATTATTGGTACTTAATATGAATTTAGAATTAAAAAAAAAAACATTTACAGTTAGATGCAAGAACTTTCAATAAAATGTACGAACATGTAATACAAATTTTAAAACTACTATCTAATTTTTAATTAATACTTAGATAAATACAACTACTTAACTATACTGCAATTTTTACAAAACACTAATAATAATATACCGCTCTACATACATTGACAGCTATATTTAACGTTAAACCACCTGTAAAACACTGAGAAAACTTGGCAGTTTTTTGTCCACGAATCGTCCATTTAGTTTCGCTTCTTGGGTAGGTATTCTTTGCCTATAATACGCTAGTTCGGTGCGATGTCATTTTGGTTCCACTGACATTTAATTCCAACCAAACTTTTAACAAAAACATCAATAAATTTGACATATACGTTTTTAACGTTTTTAGTTTATTTCTAAATATTGTTTACAGGTCATAAAAAATAGTTTAAAGGTAATTAAACGATTGTATATTTGATGCATGTTATCACTTACTTTAGGAATATATTTATAAAAGAGAAAAAACGATATAATTTAGGTAAACAAAACGAAAAAAACACACTCAAAAAATCTACTGTCACCTTAATTGTCAGTGGAGCCATAATTACATCATCACTGAACTAACGTAAAGTACATAATATGGAACAGATATTATATAGAAATGCCCATTTTAAAAAGTTTAGATGACAATGATTAAATATTTAATAATAAAAAACTTTGAACTGATACGAATGTATCGAAAGCGAGCGCACCCGAAAGCTATAAAGTCGCCACTATCTGCTGCCCTTAAACATCCACAATTAAGAACAGGCGCATGCTCAAATGTCAAAATAAGAGCGACGCTAATAGTAACTAACCTTAAGTGAACTTGCAATATCTTTCTAACATAATAAATAATAGGGCTCTAATAGGCAATAGAAGGAAACTGCATTAAATTTACATATTATTTAATTTGGAATAAACCATTGTTTAAAAACTGAACTGCTTTACTCTGTCGTTAACACAGACTAAAGGTTCCATAGAAATTGAAAGATATAGAGAAAATGACTAAAAGAAAATAGAAAATGAATAAGATTAAATATATTTAAATTGTCGATTTATCACAGAAATGCATTCTTATTAAAAAACAATAAGGAAGTGAGTCAGAACAAGAAAGTAAATAAATGTAAAAATACATCAATTTTATAATTAGGCATTTTTTTATGATTATAGATTGATCAATCAATATGAAGTTAACTTTGGGATGTATTTTGATGCTGATAGCAATAACAAATTTCAACGTGGGTAGCACATATAGGTTAAAGAGGTCTCCTCAAGATAAACCATTTGAAATTAGTCACATTACAAAAACAGATGAAGATGGTAACCTCAATGCTGGTGTTACTGTGAAAAATGATAACTTCAGTATAGGTTGGGACCAAGTTTTCGATGGATCCGGTAAATCTAAACCAAATTTCAACATAGGTGGTGCATTCAAGTTCAAAAGGTCTCCTCAAGAAGAACCACCAAAATCACCATGGGAAATTAGCCACGTTACAAAAACAGATGAAGATGGTAATATCAACGCTGGTGTTGATGTGAAACATGATAATTTTAGTTTTAGTTGGGACCAAGTTTTCGATGGTTCCGGTAAATCTAAACCAAGTTTCAACTTTAAAATTTAAGAATATTCTTAGAGTGTTCTAGATATAACTTTTGAAAATTAATTATCAAAATCAAAACATTAATGATGGTTTTGATGTATTTTAATAGTTTTTGTTAATGTAAACCATGCACTTAAGAATGTAATAGTATGTTTCATCTTTTTTATGATTATGTTTCAGGAAATAAGCGAAATATTGTAAATGTGATAATTGTATTTTTCTTTTTTAAATATAAAGTTTATAAAACAGAAAGTTATTTTTATTATAAATGGTAATTTTTAAACTATATAGGTAATCATCCCCACCATTATATCATCATTTCAACATTCCAAAAATCTACAGACTGTGATAGTTTTCAACTTTTATTAGTCAAGAACTACTAACTCTATTTAAATTGGTCAGCAACGAAGGTCACTGAAAATATGATAAATAATTAGAGCCCCTCCCAAAAAAGGACTCAAACAAGCTACCCAACAACTTAAAACCTGATTGAATTACAATGAAAACTGTAAAACCCAAACATATCTTGGGATATAGTTTATTTAATAGGAAAGACATAGACCATTCAGCATATCAATAAGAGTAAATTTACTGTCAATCAGGTAAATAATTAAAGAATTAATTAAAGAAACTTCAGGTTATTATTACGGCTTAAGTTAATTAGTCAGGTTTTAGAAGATAAAAAATTACTGTTGTGTAATTTTTATTCAAGTTCGGCATACTGATTATGCCGAACCTTACCCAATATTTCCTGGTCCTAAAATCCTACCTATAAGATCATCACTGCCACCAAAATGAGCAAATCTATCTATATATCTATCTGAATAAGGGCGTGGTTTAAAGCCCACTTGTACTGAAGCTCTAGGCTTATTGTATCTCTCACAGTTTCTATCTCATCAGATTGATTTTCTTGATGAATTCAAGAATATGTCTGATGGACGCTTTCGCGATTTCTTCATGTTCCGGATATTGTACCCCGAAGTACCATTTCCGTTCCCATTTAAGGTTCCGATAGTGGCATAGTATGTGAATAGGAGTTTCGTCCTCCTCTTCACATATTCTACATAGGGAGTCATCAGATATCCTTAAGAGATTTAGGTGTCTTCTAAGGCCGCAGTGTCCCATAAGAAGTCCTATTACGGCCTTCAGTTCGCTTCTGCTAAGGTTTAGCAGTTGATGTTTTCTGCTCGTGGATGGCCCCTCTATGAATCTTTTGGACTGTCTAAGTCCAGGAAGTTCCAACCAGAGCCTATGGTGTTCTCTATTTATTTGTTCCTTTAACACCCATGTTGATATGAGATACCACATGTGGGTTCTGGTCCAATAAGAGTTTTTCTGCTCCCTTCCTTCCTAGGAGGTCTGCTTTCTCGTTTCCAAACACTCCCTCATGTCCTGGCACCCATTCAAGGGTGACCTTGTTATGTTCTGCCAGGGTCTGCAGAGACTATTGGCAATCAAATATTGATTTAGATTTACTTCTACCTTGAGCAAACACCAGTTCAAGATAAATTCTGGGGTTCTGGCGTTCTGGAGTTCCATAACGTACTGTTGCGTTTTAAACAACAGTTTATTTTAAACAACAGTTTATTTGTTAATAATTTAAGTAGAGCCTCAAATAAGACAGAGAGGGACTTGGAGGATTAGAGCATGACTGAATAACGAAATGGCTAGCATTACAGTATTGTTCTTGGATTAGCAATGTACTTGTCGACTTACAAACAAACGATGATGTCATCACTGCTACATATGCAGATGAAAAAGTTGTTACATTAGTACACCCAAGGTTAGCAAATAGAAAAAAATCTGATTAGCAAAAGGTTTCAACTATAAAAGCGACTATTCACCAATCCTACTAAACATTCATTAGTTCAATCAGTAACAAGACACTTAATATTTAAGTAAGATACTGAACTTTAGAAAACATATTTTTACAAAATAAAGCAAACGAATTGGACTCAGTTTGACTTCAAGAACTTTATTGGCTCATTGGGTGCATACAACTGTAAATGTACAATAAAGTATTGGTACATAAAGCCACCCTTAAACTCATCTACTGCTACGGAATGAAAATATTGCAAACTGAATCAAATTCAAATATAAAGAAACTAACGTTTTCTGGTACATCCTAAACACCTTAATACGTGAAAACTAACAGATTCTGTAAGGTGAAGGAGTTAGATAGCCTCCACAGCATCTATGCTTTACTTAGGCCTATTGTGCATCCTTAAGAGGAAAATAGGACCTGCATCTCAGCTCATCAAAGTTCTGCAGGTTAATAACGTCTATATAAATGCCCCATTTTTGATGTGGTCCTTTGGTGGGTTTCTACTATCCAAATAGTAATTGCCAGGATAGAGGTATTTAGTCCGCCAGCTTTACAAGGCAAATTATTTTTTTAAATTTTTTACAATTATTTTTTACTTATATGCAGGAGCGTAGTCGGAAAATGTATGAGTGGTTTTGCGTTTTGAAATTAAGTAATTTTACATATATTTAGAAATAACAGTAAAAGAACATGTTTACTAAATAAATAAAATTCAAAATAAAAACAAAAACGAAACAAACAAAAAGATAACAAAACAAAAAATTAATATTTTTGAAACTTAAAAACAAGCACAACATAATTTGATAGCACATATTAAAAATAAAAATAAATTCGTATTCTTTTTTATGAAACACAAAAAATCACAATACAGATAATAAACAAACATAAATTATTATTAAAAAATAAATTCATATTATTTCCTAAGATTGGAATTATTATAATTTCCATGTGTTTTTTATACTTTCTAATAAACTGGGATTTGACCCCCAAAATCCCCCTGTGGCTACGCCCCTGCTTATATACATATATATTAGTTTAAAAAATTATTTTGTTTAGTCAAATTAAATAAGTTGTGATTTATAATATTTCTTTTCCCTGTAATCATAAAATCGTAAAAATAAATAAAATAAAGTAGATATGATTTCTATTTGTAAAATACCTTTTATCTAGATATTTGTAGTTGTTTATATTAATAATCCCAATTTCACTCGAATAAAACTAGGGTAAAATACAATGCAATAAAGATTTTATTAAGGTATTTTATGTATAAATAAGGCAAGTATATTCAGATGATTTATAGTGCAACTTTTCAATGTGCATTCCCAACTTGGAAAAATAGTGTGATAATTTATATAGGTAAATATAATTCCTAAAATTTTTTTGGTCTATATTTCGCTTTAATAATTGTTTTCTAGTTTTGACATATAAAGTGACATTTTTTTGTAATTGTAGCAAGTGTCAAAATGATCTATTTTACGTAACCAGTTGCATAATGTTCAAAATTATGAAACTGGTTACGAAAAATTTAATACGGCACCAGTTGCGAATAGAAAACAAATAAAAATAAAACTTTTTTTGGTTGCTGAAAGTTTATATCAAAGAAGGGCAGGTTGTCTTATAAAAATAGAATCTGGTTGAACTTACAACCTAGTAATAATGTTGTTTTGGTCCTTACACCACAAAATAACCTACTTTTTTAAAAATTGAATAACTTTAATAAACAATATAAACACATTGTAAGTCGTTGAGAATAAATAATTATTAATGATGTTTAATCGTGGTTCTAATTGTCAATAAAATGATGCATATATAACTAAGAATACAAGAAAGTAATAGTGATTGCCTATATGTCAGTAATGTTTAACCAAAACACAACTACAATAAAATTTTAGTCAAATTAAAAAAAATATAGTGTGTAACTCTTTCATGTTGCGGGACCTCGCTCTGCTCGTCTCGCTAATATACACTCGTTACAAATTAAGGCATTTCGCAACTGGTTTCATAAATAACTATAAAATTTTCAAAATTTATAATTATCTTATAATTTATTTTAAAAATACATTTTATACATATAATTTTTTAGTTTAACGTGTTTTACCCTAAGTCAGTTCACGGTATACAATTTCTTATTACGTATTACTGGCCATAAATAAAAGTTCTCTTGTTATAAAATTTATTTTTCCGTCTACCAACCATTTACGATATATTTCAACGTTGAATAATGACCCCAATTAATGAATGATTTTCTATTAATCAACGATTTTATTATACATATGCAACCCAACGTACATTGCTCTTATTGTACATTATTTATATTGACAGTTACCTATGGTGTAGGCAACCAAACATACATATTTATACATTTTAAATCAAGAAGGTGTGTTAATACTATCTGTCATTGTATGTCATTATTTAATGTCTTAAAATATAGAAAATAGTAATTGTTATTTTTGGTTATATAAATAAAAATTGAAAGTAACATATCTTTATTTTTGAAAAGTACGGTCGACGGAAAAGTTCTGTAACGACATCGTGAATTAAAATGGCGATTAACAATCTCGAACATTAACGCGCTCGCTCCGCTCGCGCTTTAAATTATCTCGATTGTTAATCGCCCTTATTAATACACTTATTTTTTAAATAACCATTAAACCTTAATTTTAAGGCGTCATGTCATGAACCTTTTAACTTTTCTAACAACATAAATGGGAAAAGTTATAACATTGATAGGACCTAAAGAGTTTGATTAAAATAACATATTTTTTCTATTTGTTTAAATTCTTATGTTTTAAACAGAACCTGACTAAGATAATTTTTACCGTTACAGATCAAGAATCGAGATGAAGCTTATTTTAGCTACCATATTTACATTGGCAGTTATAATATCAGCTGAACAAGTTTATGAACCGCTTAAATTTAAAAGATCGCTTGATCACCCTTGGGCTGTTAGTCCAAATATAAACAGAGATGACAATGGCAACGTCAATACTGGTGTTAATGTAAAAAATAAAGGAAAAGATCACGAATTTGAAGCAGGATGGAATAAAGTCGTTAAAGGACCAAATAGAGCTAAACCAACCTGGAATGTAGGTGGTACTTTCAGATTTAAAAGATCGCCTGATCAGCCTTGGGCAGTTAGTCCACATATAAACAGAGATGATAATGGCAACGTCAATACTGGTGTTCATGTAAAAAATAAGGGAAAAGACCATGAATTTGAAGCAGGATGGAATAAAGTCGTTAGAGGACCAAATAAAGCTAAACCAACTTGGAATGTAGGCGGTACTTTCAGATTTAAAAGATCGCCTGATCAGCCTTGGGCAGTTAGTCCACATATAAACAGAGATGATAATGGCAACGTCAATACTGGTGTTCAAGTCAAGAATAAGGGAAAAGATCATGAATTTGAAGCAGGATGGAATAAAGTCGTTAGAGGACCAAATAGAGCTAAACCAACTTGGAATGTAGGTGGTACTTTCAGATTTAAAAGATCGCCTGATCAGCCTTGGGCAGTTAGTCCACATATAAACAGAGATGATAATGGCAACGTCAATACTGGTGTTCAAGTCAAAAATAAGGGAAAAGATCATGAATTTGAAGCAGGATGGAATAAAGTCGTTAGAGGACCAAATAGAGCTAAACCAACTTGGAATGTAGGCGGTACTTTTAGATTTAAAAGATCGCCTGATCAGCCTTGGGCAATTAGTCCACACATAAACAGAGATGACAATGGCAACGTCAATTCTGGTGTTAGTGTAAAAAATAAAGGCAAAGATCATGAATTTGAAGCAGGATGGAATAAAGTTGTTAGAGGACCAAATAGAGCTAAACCAACTTGGAATGTAGGTGGTACTTTCAGATTTAAAAGATCGCCTGATCAGCCTTGGGCAGTTAGTCCTCACATAAACAGAGATGATACTGGCAACGTCAATACTGGTGTTCAAATCAAAAATAAAGGAAAAGATCACGAATTTGAAGCAGGGTGGAATAAAGTCGTTAGAGGACCAAATAGAGCTAAACCAACTTGGAATGTAGGTGGTACTTTCAGATTTAAAAGATCGCCTGATCAGCCTTGGGGAGTTAGTCCACATATAAATAGGGATGATAATGGCAACGTCAATACTGGTGTTCAAGTCAAAAATAAAGGAAAAGATCACGAATTTCAAGCAGGATGGAATAAAGTCGTTAGAGGACCGAATAGAGCTAAACCAACTTGGAATGTAGGTGGTACTTTCAGATTTAAAAGATCGCCTGATCAGCCTTGGGCAGTTAGTCCACATATAAACAGAGATGATAATGGCAACGTCAATACTGGTGTTCAAGTCAAGAATAAGGGAAAAGATCATGAATTTGAAGCAGGATGGAATAAAGTCGTTAGAGGACCAAATAGAGCTAAACCAACTTGGAATGTAGGTGGTACTTTCAGATTTAAAAGATCGCCTGATCAGCCTTGGGCAGTTAGTCCACATATAAACAGAGATGATAATGGCAACGTCAATACTGGTGTTCAAGTCAAAAATAAGGGAAAAGATCATGAATTTGAAGCAGGATGGAATAAAGTCGTTAGAGGACCAAATAGAGCTAAACCAACTTGGAATGTAGGCGGTACTTTTAGATTTAAAAGATCGCCTGATCAGCCTTGGGCAATTAGTCCACACATAAACAGAGATGACAATGGCAACGTCAATTCTGGTGTTAGTGTAAAAAATAAAGGCAAAGATCATGAATTTGAAGCAGGATGGAATAAAGTTGTTAGAGGACCAAATAGAGCTAAACCAACTTGGAATGTAGGTGGTACTTTCAGATTTAAAAGATCGCCTGATCAGCCTTGGGCAGTTAGTCCTCACATAAACAGAGATGATACTGGCAACGTCAATACTGGTGTTCAAATCAAAAATAAAGGAAAAGATCACGAATTTGAAGCAGGGTGGAATAAAGTCGTTAGAGGACCAAATAGAGCTAAACCAACTTGGAATGTAGGTGGTACTTTCAGATTTAAAAGATCGCCTGATCAGCCTTGGGGAGTTAGTCCACATATAAATAGGGATGATAATGGCAACGTCAATACTGGTGTTCAAGTCAAAAATAAAGGAAAAGATCACGAATTTCAAGCAGGATGGAATAAAGTCGTTAGAGGACCGAATAGAGCTAAACCAACTTGGAATGTAGGTGGTACTTTCAGATTTAAAAGATCGCCTGATCAGCCTTGGGGAGTTAGTCCACATATAAATAGGGATGATAATGGCAACGTCAATACTGGTGTTCAAGTCAAAAATAAAGGAAAAGATCACGAATTTCAAGCAGGATGGAATAAAGTCGTTAGAGGACCGAATAGAGCTAAACCAACTTGGAATGTAGGTGGTACTTTCAGATTTAAAAGATCACCTGATCAGCCTTGGGAAGTTAGTCCGCGCGTAAACAAAGATAATAATGGCAACGTCGATACGAGTTTGGAAACCAAAAATAAGGGATGAAACAGAGTCGCTAAACCAAATCGTGTAGATAGTTTTTACACATTTAAAAATTCTAAAATGCAAAGTGAAATCGAAATTATTACTGTAAAAGAGAAATAAATATATTATCTGTATTGATTTAAACATAAAATATATAAATAATTTAAATAAATCGTTTACAAGGTGAACTTTTTTATAAGAATGGTCTAGATTAATTTGTTCTAAGGTTATCCTATAATTTTTAACTTTTGATTATAATATGATATATAACAGTGTAGAATTTAACTAAAAAAAGAGAAATTAATAATCCTTCAAGATTTTACGGCCATATAAATTTTTGTCAAAATTCACAATACACCCCACCCCGTATATTAATAACGAAGGGGAGTTGACACTTTTTAATGCTCATATGATTTACCCCGTAAGGGACTCTACGAGTGGCAGAAGTATTTTAGGTCCTCATGACCCTGTATTATAAAATAATAATATATTTGTAAACGTATAAAAAATTGTATTAAATGAATAATAATATTTTTTAATAAGTGTACGTACTGAAGAAGGTCTAACTAAACTAGGTGCCGAAAGCTATTCAAATGTGTTTTATTAAATCCCATGAAAACCACTAGCCAAATTAATATTTTATGATAGTGCAAACGTTATTTCTATGTTTAGAATATAAAATACATGTATACATAAATAACTTGAATATAATTATTGACACATAATATTATTGATGCTAATATTTTTATTGCTGTGTTTTTCGTTATGAAAGTAAAAGGGGAATCACATTGATTTATCAAATGTTTACCTTACAAGTCTCGTTTTTATATTATTTGCAGGAATACAGAACCGGCATAGCAGTAGCATTAAACGTACACATTCCATAATGTCTTTGTAACAATTTTCGAGAACGTTAAAGTAAGCTAATAATTAGTCGGTGACCATTTTGTCCACAGCTTCAAACTCCATACATAAACAAGCTAAAAAAAAAGACCTTTTTATAAATTGACTAACAATATTTATATATTTTTATTATGGATGCCTGTATCTGTAACGTGTGGAGGGTGGGTTACCCCCACGGCACTTAGGCCTCACTAGGCCCATTGTGCATCCTCCTAAGATAATAGGTACCTCCTAGCTCGTGAGCCAGCCTACAGATTTGATGTAGATGAGAACGTCGCCAAGAGGTGCTTCTTTTATATCGGTCAGTGTTATCCAATACTTGCCGAACACAAATCTTCCAATAAATGAGAACGTTGAGCAATCGTAAAGGATATGCTCGATGGTCTTATCTTCTTGTTCGCACCCTCTGCAGAGTGCGGATACTGACAGCCCCATGATATGGTGATGCTTCCGTATTTAGCAATGACCAGTCAGAATGCCTATGACTAGGCGCAGATTCTGTCTAGTCATAGTCAAGTATTTATTTGCTGCAGTGTTGTCAGGATAACTTAAGAGCTTCCTGGCAACTCTGCAGTTTATTCTTTCATCCCATCTTTCCTTGAATTTCACAAGGGAATGTTTTTTAATTAGGTACGTCACTACCGATTTTGTCAAGCCACTAGAAGGGCCAGGTCCGAAAAGCATTTGGTTGGCTGCTTTCTTGGCTAGTGAATCAACAAGCCGGTTACCATCCGATGTGGCGTGACCTTTGATCCATCTTAAGGTGACCACATTGTTGATGGATACTTCGGCCAAAGCTTCGTGACATTCTAGTACTAACCCTGAGTAAATTCGTGGTCTGTTCAGGGTGAGTAGTGCTTGTTTGCTATCTGTATAGATGATCGTGTTCCTTCCAGTTATTATGGACATGTTCTCAGATACATTTTGTATCATTCTATCTAGGAAACAGACTTGTATCTCTACCAGCAACACTTCAGTAGTGTAATGTAAAAAAAAATGAAAAATATTACCGATTATTATGCTCAAGTAAAATTACAAAAAGGGAACAGTAAAAGTCAAAATTTGAGAAACGGTTTTTACCGTTTCTGAAAAGTAATAAAATTAGACATGTCCAATTCTCTTAATGATCCTTTTAATTTTCCTTAAATAATGTAATTTAAGAATAACATAACCAAAAAAACACAAGACGGATCTGCTCTTAGAATATAAATATAAGCTGGTCTTTACGTATTTTTTACACAGTATATTCTACAGCTTGCTAAAACTTTAAAATGAAATTTGTAATTGTATTCCTTTGTTTGTGTGTAATATCTACAAATATTGTAAATGGTGGAAGAGTCTTGGGACCTGAATGTAAGAGGGCAGGACGTCCCTGTCCAGAATGTAATGCCCCGCTTTGTGAAAAAGATGAAGTATTAAAATTATTACCATGCGCTTGTTGTCCTGTTTGCGGTAAAAAGTAATGTAAGTAAATTTCAATATGTATTGTAAAGTTAATTTTAGATGTGCAGTCTTTGTTTGTTACACGCATAGTCCTATTATACCTTGTACAATTCATTGTACAGTGGAAGGACCTCGTTTAAATTTTTGTACCTGTATTTAGTGCAAAGACATTTATAATAATTTAGGTTAAAACTTTATCTCTTCAACGATACCTAGCCTATTATACATTAGGGCATTGATACTCAAAGTGTGCTCCGCGGAGCCCTGGGGCTCCAAAAGCTTTTGTGGGGGCTCCGTGAAGAAAATAATAGTCTTAATTTTGCTTGGAGGACCTTTGTTTTTGTGGGGGCTCCGCGATAGAAAATAATAGTCATAATAAAAAAAAGCAGTACTATGGTCACAAAAGGGAGGGACGTGGCTCAAGGATCTTTTTTTAGAAGTCACTAATAGGAAGGAGGATATGAAAAAGGTCTGGCAACAAGATATTTTCTTTGAAACGAATGAATGTATAACTCTGAAAATGTAGGGTGATAAATATGATTAGATTCTATATATTTTTAGAGAAATGTTAAATTTATATGACGTCAGCGTTTGGCGTACCGCCGCCATCTTGATTTTTTAAATAGCAACGTAGCAAAAAAGGAGGAGGTTATCAATTCGTCGCGATATTTTTTTTTATGTATGTTCAGCGATTATTCTTTAACACGGTGTCCGATTTCAATGATTTTTTTTTTTGTTAGAAAGGGACTACTTTAGGGGTGGTCCCATATAAATTTGGTCAAAATCTAATATTTGGATCCATGAGAAAATCCTCAAACTCTTCATTTTTTATGTATGTTTAGCGATAATGCTTTACCACCTTGTCCGATTTATAAGATTCTTTTTTTGTTAGTAAGGGGGTACCTCTGGGGTGGTCCCATATAAATTTGGTTAAGATGTGATGATGGCATCTGCACGTTTTTGAAGTCGGTTTTTTAAATTTTTAATTTGTAATACTTGTTATACAAACAGAAGGATATTGGGGTCTATTCTGTAAAAATTCCTTTATATTTAACGGCCTTTAAAAATATTGTCGGCCTTTAAACATATATGTTCGTATTCGTTAATTTACTTCTGTCATTATTTAAACAGATTTCTTTAAGATAGTCCTCTAATGTATTTTAAAGATCCGTTAAGCCTCTTTTAAAAAACAAGAATATGAAAAAAATATTATTGGCTCAACTTGATGAGATAGTGGCATAAAAAATGTTGTGTACACCTCGACCATGTAATCTTTTTTGACCTAAGCAGAAGTTGCTTGGTCTCGGCAGCAAACTTCTAATTTGGCCAGAAAATATCAACTTTATGGCCTTGGTACACAAATAACTATTCTATTGTTTGATTAAGGATAATTTTCTTACCGTAGTAGAATTTTATATAATTAAAAAGTTTATTCGGTCGTGTTTATTGTTTTTATAAAGTTTAAGTACCTACGGGCACTACATCTGTTTCGGAAATACTGTTCCATCTTCTGGTGCCAGTTATTAAATATTGACTGGCACCAGAAGATGGAACAGTGTTTCCGAAACATGTAGTGACTGTAAGTACTTAAATTTTATAAAAACAAGCTTTCGGAAAAGACGCTTTACTTAGTTGAGTTGAAACATGGCAAAATATCCCATGAATACAATGTTTTTCATTATTTGACTTTAATTAATTACAATATTCACGAAAATAATACGTACCTATTATTAGAATTTAATAAATAAATATGATAACTTACTAGGATAAAAAATCACTGTAAACTTCTAATAAACTTAGCTGCTAATATCGGCGTCACTCACAAAATAACGATTCTGCACTGCAAACTGTAACCAGACAAGAACGTGGTTAACAAAATGGCAATTAGAAACCACGTGGTGTTCCATGTTGCCAATTTGTGAAACTCAAATTACCTACCCACTGAGACTGCATACGGCACTTAAAAAAATGCAAATTTATAATACAATAATTAGTTATAGGCCACTAGTAATACAGCAAACAACTTTTAAATTAATTTACGCTAGTTTTATGTTAACGATAAATAGAAAAAATATTGAAAAATGGTACCTAATAGGTAATTTGAATTGTTTACATTTCCTATGATAGCGCAATAACAAAACGTGAATGGCAACGTTGAGATCGGCGCATTAAGGGGACGTTGAGTCTGGGTATTATTAAAAATAAATTCGCTAATAGTTAACATATCATAGCTGTATATTAAAATTAATTTATTTCGTAGAGCGCGAAAGCAAAATTGTTATATTTAAAGTGTTGTATTTTATTATTAAGAAATTTGTAATGTTTAGATGAACATAATAGTTATTTTTAAATATACATATATTACCGAGTAAAATATTTGTTAATATCTACTATACCTTACTGTAATAAATGTTTTCTTAAAGAAAAACTCGTATTTGTGAGATATTTATTAATAATTATAATATTATGGTATTATTAAATTTTCTCAGTTAATATTTAAAGAATGTCTTCCTAACTTACAATATTTTAAAAATAAACTACTTTTTTCTCTCAGTGTGAAATCCATTTTTATAACCACCAGATTTAACTTGGTGGTAACATAACAACCGACCTTGGACCTTGGTCTAAGCCACTTGCTAGATAGCAACTGCCTGAAACAGAATATACTACCATAG